TAATCACCTATCGCCCCCCCATCGCGCTTTTTCTGCTGCCGATCACCCTTCCCCGCGCCGCCTCGGGGCGGATCGCGGCCTTTGGGTGCGGGGATCCTCACACAGAAAACACCATTTTGGGGTCTTGTCTGGTTTTTTTTGGTTTTTTTTTGGGTTTTTTTTTTGTTTTTTTTCACCCGCCCCCCCCATTTTCTATGTGTCCCGGCGATCCAGGCGGGATGGGAGCAGATTTGAAGGTCATGGTCACTGGGAGCAGTCTCATTTGGAGCTCATTTGGAGCTCATCCGCTTGCCTTGTATTTTTACCCAGTTTTGTGCGTTTGGCAATAAAAGAATCCACGGCAGTCTCATTGTTACACAGCCCTGAAAAACCCAGCAGTACGTCGTTACCCATCTGTGAGACCGGAGCAGCACTGGGAGGGTGGGAAAGAGCAAAAAGAGCCCCAAAAACCCAAAGAAACCCCAATGCCAGCAGTGCCCAGCACCCAGTGCCATGATTTCATGGCTCCCGCGCGTGGCACTGCGATGGCCGTGATGTTGGCTGTGCCTCCCTGACAGACAGCGGCACCGTGGAGGTTAACGTGAAGGACAACAAAACCTACAGCTTTTTGGAAGGTTTTTTTTGGTGGGATTTGGAGTTATTGTGAGCTTTGGGCTCATTAGGTGAAGAGCTGTGAGCTTTGATTCCTTTGTCAAGCTCTAAAATCACGACCGTTGGGTTTCTCCTCTCAGTTTTGTTGGATAGGTTCCATTTCAGAACTTGGGAAGTTGTAACGGGGCTGCTGGACAACCAGTGTGTTCCCAATCTCTCTCTTGAAAAAAAAATAAAATAATAGTTGTAATAATTCTTCAATGTAATTCTGAGTAATGTTTCAGTAAGATCACAGCACTCATGTTGATGGGTCCCCAGAGGATACCTTCAGAGTACTTTTCCCAATGCTTTCCTAAGGAGATGTCAAGTCTTTTCTGGGCAACAAATTTAAAGATGGTTCACGTTGCAAATTTTGTCCTCTAAATTAACAGCAAAGAGGCTTTTCTGTTTGGGAAAAAAAAAACAACAACAAAACAGGCTGATTTTAGCTGGCCTGCATCTTGGTTTCAATTGGAAGTGTTGAGTTGAACACCCCCCATTTCTAGCAAAGCTTTCTAGTTTTGTTTTTCTTGTGACATGCAAAAAAAAAAAAAAAAAAAAAAGGTTACATTTCATGGCGAAGTTTTTCATAAACATAAATTGAGTAGACTCAAACTCGTCAGTTTTGACTCAGATTTGAGTAGAAAATTGTTTGATAGTCAACAGTTGTGGGCCCAATTTCTGTGTCCTTATTACTGCAGTGCTTAGTGGAGTGGGTACCTGGTCCTTCCTCGTCTGGTAGTAGAGGAGGGGGTCAACTTTGTGTGTCTCCATGGTCTTTAAATGAAATTTTAGTAAGATATCCATCCTAATAGTCTTGTAACATATTTTGTAATAGGAAAGGTAGGATCTTGTGTGAAAGATGAGGATATCCCCGTGTTTGCTTTCCACTGCTGTTCCTTCCCCGTTTACCCTGGGGAAGAAAATCACAAAGGAAAGTTTCCTTAAAGGTGTCTAAAAATTAGCAAGAAGGGTTAATGAATGTTTTTGAAATGAGTGCTAAGTGAATTTCTACGTTTATTTGGTGGTGGCTGTTTGTAGAATGGGACAGGTGGGAAGTGGGGGTTTGGAGGCCAGGGGATGCCAATAGCATGGTGAGCTGTAACTGGAGAAAATGTAGACCTTGTGTGAACCTGCTCTGCCATGCTCCTCAAGATCTTAACTATTCTAAATTGCTGGTGTGTCTGTTCAGGTTTTTCCCCAATACAGGCCTAACAAGGTTAGCAATTCTGTGATTAGAAAATACATCTGTATCAGCTTTCTGTTGAATGCTGCAACTATTTTTATCCTTTTTTTTTTTTTTCCCACTGGGGTTTTGGCTGAAGGTAAATCACTGCAGGCTCTGGTTTTGGAGGATTACATCTCTGGTTACAATTGTGGCAAAAAATCTTTTTTGTTTGGGAACTTTCTTGCCAAAATGAACCTGCCCTTTAAGAAATAGTCTGTTGCTGCTTTTATGAGTTACTTTAACCATTAAGAAATTTAAACTGAAATTACCCCATGTTATGTAGCTTGCTTTTGAGGCTTAATGCTTTTTGCCTTCTCTTATTTTCTTTTTTTCTTGATAGCCTTTGTTACTGACCTCACAAAAGGCTGAAGGACAGGGTAGAAGGGAGGTGTCCATTCTGTTCTGTAGAAGTAATTGGGAATATTGAGCACTGAGGCGCTCTGAAATAATGCAAGGGACTGTTCTGGAGGTTTGGTCACACATCAGTCAGAGGTTTTCTAGTTCATTCTAATGTCTTTGTGTTGGGTTTAGAGCAGCTGTGCTAAACTGCTGAGCAAAATGAATGGGTAACCTGCAGGTCTCTTTCCTTAGAGCAGTTAATGTGTTTGAGTGAGTTGTACCTGCTTTTGAGTAAGTTTTAATGTGGTGGCTGATTTATGGCAATGTACACGAAGGTTCCTCAGTGCCCACGTCCATCAGTGGGCCGTGCCTGCGTGCTTGGCTCAGGTGTCCCTGTGTGATGGGGTGCTGCAGAACTCGTCCTCTTGTGAGAAGGCAAGAGTTGATGTGAATGATGTCAGCATTGGGCAAAACTACCAAAGGCAGCACTGCAGCACTTTTGCGTGGCGTTAATTTGACAGCTTTGGTCCGTTTGACTCCTACGTAACCAATTGCTATTCTTAAATGAGGTCTGAACTTTGTACTTCTGAATTCTGCCTTAGAAGAAAGCTTTATCAGCTCACTGCACTTGTAATGAAAGTTCTTCAGAGTATCCTTGAATTGTTTTCAAAGCTGTGGTGATGCAGTCAGTGCTCCAGAAACATCCATTCGCTCTATTAAGTTCAGTGAGCTTTGTAGTTGCACTTCTGCTGCAGACATTAATTGCAGCGTGGCTGCATCTGTTTCTTGTTTCTTGGTCTCCAAGAGCATCTTGGTGAAGATGCTCATGGAAAGAACTTCACATCCTGGAGAGACTTGCCTTCCTTGCATTAGTTTTCACTTAGCTGTAAAGACATAAATGCATGACCTTGTTTTGCTTACACAAACGCTCTACTTGGCGTGTAAACATCAGGAGGGGAGGTGTGGGATGTTGAGGATAGCAAATGTTCAGAAAAATAGAAAAAAATTGCAAATTGCTCCTGGGATAAGATGTTTATTGTGCAGCGTATGGGATGAAGCTCTTGTGTAGACTTTCACTCTTGAAGCACAAGCACTAACCTGCAGTGAGTTGGCTACTGAGATTAATTACTTGGTCGACTTACTTTGTCTGGTGCAGCAGTTTCTGACTGTGTGACTTTCCTACCCTGCAGCGTTGGAATGGGGTTGCAAGTTTGATTTGCCAAGTTGCTCTGCCTTCTCCAAGGCCTACATTCAACCACATTTCTGCAATACATAATGTATTTTTAATTCACCATGTGGTTGTAGGTAGCAGTGCAGGATTGCTGGTGACCCTTCTGATTTCTCCCACTCCATTTTTGCTCTCCTGTTTTGCATTGCGCTGAATTGCTTCCGGCAAAGACCATCTGCCTTCTGCTTTTGTAAAGGTCTTAGCTTATTTTTCATATAGTTCATTAAAGATGTGTCAAAGGGTGGTCTGAGCTTGAGCCTTCACGTGTTGGGTTACAGACCTCAAGTTGATGGTCTTGGTTTTAGCAGAATTTGCATACGGTTTTGATTGAGCGTTGGCTGGTTTGTTTAAAATGGTGATGATTGTTTTACTTGAGACTGTATTGAACAGTCGCAGCTAGAAAAAGAGGTTAGGTCTGTAAAGAGGTATGTCTGGTTGGAGCAGGGCTCGGAGCTCCATATTTGTCCTTTCTCTTGCTCTGATGCAGAAGCTGCAGCCTTTCCTTTTGCCAGCGTGGATGCGCACGGTCAGATGGCTTCTTGGAGGTGTGTGATGGGAATGGTAATTGGGGACATGTAGGAGGTGGAAAATCCAGGATGCTTCAGGTTGAATGCTTAAACAGAATGCTCTGAACTTGCTGACCAGTCTAGGAGCCCAGTTAGTGAAATTCTAAGGATGCATGTGGGAGCTGTGGGAGTGCAGCAAAGGCACTGCACTCTCACTTCTGGCCCTTTCTGTAACTGGTGCAGAAAGGGGTGGCTTCCGAATTCTTGAGACCAACAGAGGGAACTGATGGAATTATTTGGGCTTCCTCCATGTTCTCTGCATGGCAGTTTTGTTGCAACTTTGGATTATGATAAGAGGAGGAATCAGAGCTGAATCTGACCCTTTTATTGGGGCATTTTGCATCTGGTGGAATGGCATCCCATAAGAAGAGTGTGGTTCAACTGAAAATGTTGCTAAAACTGTTGCAGGCTCCAGCACTGGAGGCAGGCAGTCACTGGACAGATGGCAGGCTTACTCAATGGTAAGACTTGCTGGTCGCCAGAGAGCCAAAAGTTGTGACTCTGTCTTCTGGAAAGCCAAGGCTTATAGGTAATTAAATAAGGGCTATTTGGTTTAGATTTTTTTTTGTGTGTGTATGAGATTAGAACTCTACAAGTATCCTGAAAATGCCAGCTTGACATCTGAAGTCTGCATTTATTACCAATCAGCAAATGTCATCGGTGGGAGCAATGCTGTACAGCACAGCACGTCGGGCTCACAAGCTTGCTTTCTCAAACTGCTCAGGTGATCGGTCAGTGGATTTCATTTTTTCCTTACTAAGGACTTTCCTGCTCCTCTGATGGACTTGCTGATTTCTGCAAAATTAGTGCTCATGAGAAGACCCTTTAATTCCTTGACCAGCTCGTGAGTCCTGCTCACAAGGGCATGGTTTGGAGCACAGCTGCCTTCTACCACAGCACAGCGTTTTCAGAAGCAATTGAACACATTTGCTGTTTAGGTTTCAGCATTGTTTGACTGTTTTGAAACATGAGCGTGGTTCTTTGGGTCTCTAATTAAATGGATGTGCATCTGTAAGGTGAGCCAGTTTCAAAAAATTGATTTTTTTCTGAATAACATTGAAGAGTTCATTTTGCCTTGCTCTTATTGGGTGCACTCTTAAGTCGTCGTTATGATACAAATCTCGGTTATCACAAGAAGGATTTGAAAGTAGGGCTTCCTATTGTGATACAAACCTCAATCACTACAAAAAAGTAGCTGGAACTAGGGCTGCTGCTTGTTCAGAGGGAGTTTGGATACAAGGACATGAAGCACACCAACCAAGCTGAGGTTTTATTGCAGCTACAGGGATGCTGTTGGCACTTCTAGGGCTGAGTTGAAGGGCACAGACTGTTGCATCTCAGTTTGCAGAGCGTTAAGAGTCTACGAGTTAATTTAAAGGCATTTTGAAACATTGAGGTTGTAACATGTTCACTGGTTTGCATGTGGTTACTGGTTTTGAGGGGCTGTGTGTGGCTGCTGCCCTCATATAAGCTCATAAGCTCTAAATAGGGACCGAGAACTGGGCCTTGTGGGCAGTTGGTTGGGTGGCCCTCAACCAGAAAGATGGTGGCAGTGAGGAGAGACCAGGCCGAGAGAAATGGCTGTGAGGGACTGAGCCTGGAAGTGCAGTGGAGCAGTTTTGGTTCTGCGTGCCAATAGGTTTTGGAGTTTCCTTTAGCTGCAGGATTCTGCTAGAGAGAGAATATGTGTGGATTTCTGTAATGACACAGCATGGGTATTTTCTTTGTTTTGCCATTTATTGGAGGTAACCTTTTTACCCATTTACTGGTCTTGCTTGTCGATCAGTAATTTGAAGGATAGATGCTACAGGCGGTGCAACTGCTAAGTTTGGCTCTGGGGAAGAGCTGGTTTTCTTTGCTCTGATTCTCAGCACAAAATTAAGTTTGGTTTTTGAATTTGTTAAGAAATTGATCCTTTTCAACATTTCTGAGTTGTATCTTCTGTCTGTGTTTCCTTTCAGAGGTCGCAGCAGTGGCAAAGGACCGCCTCAGCCCACAGTGAGTATTTTTTCCTTGTTGTTTCCTCTGTAGATACAAGGAAACAGCTTCTCTGGTGGCCTTTCTTAGCAATGTGAAAATGGCACATTGTGGAATAATCTAATTTTTTTTCCTTAAAATACCTCAATGAGTATTTTAGACTGAGATGTGCTTTTTTAAATGTAGAAAATCTCGCATTCATCTGAGTCTGTGATTCTATGATCTGAGTCTCCTGGGAGAATGGGGAGAGAAGGAACTCTTAGACATTTGAAACATGCCAATAAAAATCTTTCTTGTGATTATAGTTGCAAATACATGGATAAATTTTAACTTGGGAACAGATTCAAAAGCGTTGCCTCTCTGGAAACTCTCTGAACTGATTTCTTTAAACGGAGGACTGAAGGCAGGGAGACAACGCTTTGTTAAACAGAAGTAGCAATTGTGTTCAGCTTTACTACAAAATAGCTAATGTAATGTTATTGTAGCTAAGCCACTGTTACCCGTGTGTGTAACTTTAGTTATTCTCAAGGCCAATACACTGTTGCACCATGGATGTGACTTGGTTTGTAGGATATGTTGCGGAAGGTAAAGATCTGGGTCTTGATTCAGAAAACGGATCTTTGAACTGCACTAATCAAATATTTGCTAATTTGTTAGTGGCCTGTTTCTCAAGGATGACTAGTTCTAGGGAATGGGGCAGGAGTAGGAAGGGCTGAAAGGACTGCAGTTTACCTCTATAAGTGTATATTGAAGATAATGGGTCTCTTCAGTAAAAATAAAGAGGCTTTGAGGGAGAGCAGTGAAAAAGGTGATGTACAAGTAGGAAGTGTTAGGCCTTCTGTGTTCCTTACTGAGTGTTGAGCACAGGGGCATCCTTAAATATGTTGGTTTCTGGGTTCTGAAACTGCAGTGAGTGGCTTTTGGCCACTAGTTTTATAATAGGCTTTGTAGCTCTTTAGCAGTTCACAACTGGATGACTTCATCTCCTGTTAATGCATGTCATCAGGTCTGTTTACTTCAAAGATGTAGTTCAGGGAACATTTCTCCTTCAGCAACAGTTGAGGTGCCTTGTCCCTGTCCCCAGGGAGGGCTGCTAGGAGGGCTTCTCAATTGTGAGACTTGGTATGTGAGTTTTATCCACCCATTGATGGGATTGATATTGGGTTGAGGCACACTGTAAGGTTTCTCATGTTTTTAAGGGTGCTGTGATATTTAATTGATCAGAGAAAGGGTCCTCTGGACATCTGCTGGGACTTAAATTCAGTGTATACTGACCAAGTGAGGTTTTTTGACCAGTCTTTCTAGCAGCTGGTCTGTACTGCTGAGAGCTGACTTTGTTTTTATAGCATTGCCTTTCTGAATTACGAGTGTTTCCCATAAAAATGACAACTTTTTTGGTTTTTTTTCCAGATTTCTTTCGATGGCATCTATGCAAACATGAGAATGGTTCACATACTTACATCAGTTGTTGTAAGTCCTCATATTTGCAAGGCGTGTAAACAGTTTCTATAGTGACAGAGAATTGTTAAATATTACACTAATTGTAATATAATAGAGTGAATAATAAAGTTCAACAGTGGGCATCCTGTTCCAAGATTGAAATTCAAACAGTCATAGTAATAGCTATTGTGTATTTTTGGCTTGAAAAACTGCAAATTATATTTGGGATGGCAGATTTCTTACGCTCGCTGGTTGTATTTTGAATTTCATGTCTCCAGAGGCATTATGAATAAGTAATAAACTTATATACAGGCAGCAGAAGCCCTTCTCCCTTCAGGTTGTTAAGGGAACATGACAAAATTTGGTGACAGACTGTCCCCCAGCAGCTAGAATCTGGGTTAAAACTTTAACTTTACTTATGCCCATGCATATGCACGGATTTGTTTTTGCACAAAGACTTGTTTGCATGCATGCATAGCTAATCAAAAGTCTCATGTGTACCGAAAACACTTTCATGAGTATCTTTAATAAACTCTGGGACATACCCCAGTGTTTGTCTGTGTGGCACGCAGAGACGTGTTTGTAAATGGGCAGATGTTGAAAAAGTTTGGGTGAAAAAAAAAGATTTGACTGAAAACTGAGCTTTTTGGTTTCGTTTTTTTACCCATTGTGCTTCTGTAAATATGTATTTTTGAGAAAATCACTCATCTCATTTGTCAGGCTGACAGAGTGCTACACTTGCATTTTTCTTGCATTCTAGGGATCCAAATGTGAAGTACAGGTGAAAAATGGTGGTATATATGAAGGAGTTTTTAAAACCTACAGTCCTAAGGTAATTTTTTTTTTCCTTTTTGGCTCTTCCTTCTTTTGAAAGGTACAAATACTGTATAATTGATGCTTCATTAAATTGGAATATTTATGATCAGTTGTTCTGACCCATCCATGTTTAGGCTTACACATGCAGATTCATTTTTGCAAACCTCTGTAAATGTGTGCTTTTCCCAAGCATGTCAGTTACCAGTAGTCTATGGTGTATTCAATTAGGATATTCTTTTTATCTCTACTAGTGTGATTTAGTGCTTGATGCTGCTCATCGGAAAACTGCAGAATCCAGTTTGGGGCCAAAACGTGAAGACATACTAGAAAGTATTTTATTCAAGTCTTCAGATTTTGTTATGGTGCATTTTAAGGATATGGATACCAATTACGCAAGAAGAGGTATACATTTTTTAAGATTCTTAAAGTTATTTGTATTTTAAGATCATAAGTCAAGATTTCAAAAGTTTTATATAAATTTTTTTGATGCTTTTTATGTCTTTCAATGCCAAGGAGTGAAGCTGCGTGTTTGTAGATTTTCAGGTTGGTCAGCAATTGTCACTGGGAGCCAAGTGTTCATTGCTACACACATGCTTTATTCCCAGGTAGCAGCGACTTAAAGATGTATGGATTCATAGAAATTTAGAGAGATTTTTGCTCTTTTCATCTTGTATTTCCACGTGTGTGTGTTCTTGCCTGATTTAAGGCTGAAGGATAAGATGCTTGTTTCAAGGAATTTGCTTTTCCTCAAAGAAGGATGCATAATATCAGAGCAACAGTAGCATTGAAATGCAGATATGTTCCAGGTTCTGGATAGGATTTTGACTTTGAATTACACAAAAGCTGTCTTATAATGGATCTGCTATGAACATCTCTTTAATGTAAATGCAAACTGGATTCTCCATTACCCTGCCTTTCTAGATTTCTAGTGAGCAGATGGAATGAAAAATCTACTACTTCTAGGAGTAATTACTGAATGGCAGTTTTCTAGAAGAAAACGGCTGCTTTATGTTGAAGTCACTCAGTTTGCATTATGAGGTGGAATGTCTTTGCATCTAAATCTTTTAAGTAGCTGGAGAGGAGAGCTGAAATAAAACTGTACAGACAGAGTGAGATAAACTGGAAGGCTGCAGAACTTGATAACTCACAGTGGGTAAATTAATCTGCTTTCCATTTTGTCTCAACAACTTATTATCGTGAAACCACACTTGAAAGAGCAAGCAAGTCTCTGATCACACCTGCACGTGAGAGCAATGAAAGGCTTTCTGCTTCTGGGGAAGTTAAGTTAGCAAAGATTCAAAAGAATGAGTGTGTATGAACACACATGCAAAGAGGAACTGTGGGCGTTTTGTTCTTATAGAGGAACCCAGGTCTTGGTGATAGGGTCAGATAAGTGTGTGATCCACAGTAAAGACTGAATTTGAACTTCTAGGTGAGGGGATTGTGCTCCCTGCTATCTTTGCACTGAGTTGTTACCATCTGGTGCCCAGCTCCATTTGATGGTGCTGAGCTTCATACAAAACAAAGGCTATTAGCTTCTACAGACCCATGAAGAAGTATTTTAAAATAGCCAAAAGACACTGATGGGTAGGTAATTTCAGACAAGGCAGTATACTGTTTGGAGATGCTTCATTGGAAAGAAAGCTAGCTGTCACTTGAAAATGTAATCAAACAAAATGGCACTCCTCAGGCACTTGGTTGCTGCAGGAGAGGCTTGCTAGACCAGAGTTCATTGGGGGGGAGTGTATGTGTTTGGTTTCTCCCTCCTGTTCTCAGACAAATGCAAGACTTCTGAGGAGCCCTTGAAGTAAACTCACTTTCTTCAGAAGATACTGTGCTGTGTCTGGGGTCGTGTGAATGTTTATTCTGGCATTTGCTTCTATGTTGAGCTGGGGGGGCTTTGGCCAAATGGTGCTCCTTAGATTTTGAGTACAGATCTTCTGAGTTACCCTCAGACTTGAACAGCAGAGGTGTTTGCTTCGTTGTCTCTGCCTTTGTGTCAAAGTCAGAAAAGCAGACTGAAAGAGGAGTGGTAAAGAGCAATAGGTAGAAAGAAGGGGAATGGGATGGATTCTTCTTTCAGAAGGAGTGGAAAATACAGTTATCTCTGAAAAAAAAACATCCAAAGTAGTCTGCCAAGCACCTTTCATTGCTATCTTACTTGTGCAGCTTTGGGGCAACGAGCTGATAATTAATCCTGCAGCAGCATCAGTAGTGTGAGTACAGGGAAGGTAATGGCAGTATAAGCTGGAGGTGGGTGAAACCACTCTGTTCAGAAGCAACAGCCTTGAATTTGCCTATGCCAAGCATGGCATTGCACCTTAAGTTGGATCAGTGGAGAAAGTGTGGTGCCTACCTAGACTGTGGAAATTGAAAGTGTTGGGAGAGGGGGGAAAGTAGGGCTGCATAGATAAGAACTTTCTGACAACTTAAGCATCAAAAAATAAATCTATCCTTGCTACCTGAGCCCTTATTTGCAACTTTGTCAGTCTATCTAGACCTTTGTGCTTGAGTAGATTCCTGTCAGGCTTCAAAAGGAATCAAAAAGAATCATCTGAGGGTCACTCAGTGGAGTCGGGGCTTTCTGCAGTACCAGCAGATTGGCTAGTTAGATTATTGGGCCCATACAAATGGAATAGAAGGGCACATTTCTACAGAATAAGCTTCTAACAGCATTTCCTGTAGTCCTAAACACTGATGAGGCAGCTCTGCTGGTTTGCATATGATTCAAATTTGAGTAAGGCTTGAGTTGTCTTCTTGGCTCCTCTTTAAAGACAAGAACATTCAAGATCATAACTACTGTTAAAGTAATAGGCTTCTACAATGTTTTTATTGTTTTTTTGGCACAGTCACTACGCTCTGAGAAAAGTAATACAAATCCAATAAAAAAAAAGGCAAGAGAGAACTGGCTATTTAAGTTTTTCCTTGAATTAGCACTGAAAGGGGCATTCTTCCAGAGAAAGTGTTGGAAGGGGAATAGCAGGAGGCACATTGTGAACAAAGGAAGGAAATGTTCGCCCTGGAGAACTAGTGGTAACTGGTTCTAATGTTTTAAATCAGTAGTAAGTAGTTTCAACAGTAAACTCTTAGTTGTTTTGTAACATTTAAGCTGAAACATCAATTTTCTTTGAGCCATGCGAACTTGATCAAAGTTTGCAGTGTGCAATACAAACACCTTTGGCACCTAATGCACATTGGCTTAATGGCTTTTGAACTATGCTTAAATGCATATTTGTGCTCTTCCCCATGAGCACAAAACATGTTTGAGAAAACAAGCTTTTATAATGCCAAATTTAATCAAACCTGGACTCTTAATTGCTCCATTCTGGCAATCCTTTTTCTAAGTCATCTAATAGCACACACTTGAAGAATTTGCCCAAGCTGAGGCTTTTCTTAGAATGCGTATACTTGATTTGCTTCTGCTTCATGTGAATTTCTGTCGTGTAAAGTTGTCCTTGGGATTTTTTTTTTCCCAGTTAGCAGGCTGAGACAAGAAGTGAGGCCTTAACATAGGAAACTTCTTTGCTTGGAGACTTCATGCAAAGCGGGTTCAGAGGCATTGGGAGCTAGTGGGGGCTTACATACAGCTCACACTTTTTTATGGCCAGCTCTCATTTGATCATTTATTTGAGTTTTACCCATATACAAAATGAACTGGATATAAATTTGGCCGTGTCAAGGTGTCACGTGAAGTGCTCCTTCAACAGCTCAGAGATACGGGGCCCCAGCAAAGGGGAGTGTGAGCACGCAGTCGATATCTTGCCTGCTAACCCTCTGCCAGTTGGCACCCAGAGCAGCAGTTTGCTTCAGCTTCTACTTTCTTAATAATCTTAAGAGCAGTATCTTTGTTTTGGAAACAATGATTTGAAGAATTTGTGTGTTCTCAGTTGTGCTGCTCATCAGTTTTGTTCATGCCTTGTTTGTCTTCTTTTTAATCTTGGTGTCCCTCTGTGTCTTTCTGACTGTTTGTTCCAGGATAACAGTGAGCTGTGCCTTGAAGTACCTTTCTGCTACATTCAGACTGCTCATGAGACTGTACTGTGTGACTAGAAGTCTGCCTTTGTAGCTTGAATTCTTCCTAACTGATTTTTTTGAGCTGTAAAGGTTAGGCTGATGTTGCAGTCTCACTTGTATCCTAAAATGAAAGAAAGGTGAAGAGCAGAGGGACATCCTGTGCCCTGTGATATACTGGATTCTACTGGGAAACTTAGCATTGCTTGTACGAATCTTCCTCAGGCCTGTAACACTCATTATGCGGTGCAGTTTTTGTGTTGCCTTGTCCCACCAGTTCATCTGTATCACAGTTTTTGACAGCACTCTGCTGATGGTTTTTATGTGCTTTTTAAATGGGAAAGTTAGTGGGTTAAGTATGAGTCTTATTAAGCTACTATTTTATTTGCAGTATCTAGAATGCCAAAACGTTTTGTGTGGAGTTTTTTTTTCTGAAATTATTTAATATAAATTAATTAAACCCTCTGAGAATAAAGACATTACCTCCATCAGGTGCTGCCCTCAGTCCCCACGTCCGTGTCTTCTCACCTTGTTGGAGGAAGTTCCCCTCTCCCCCAGTGAAGCATCATGGAAGCAAATGTCACACAAATGACACAGGCAGCCTCCAACTTAAGTTTGGTGTAAAATGTCTGATCTGGGAGGATCAGGCATGAAGCAGTGAATTCTGGCAGTAGGCACAGAAGCAGCACTGGCTGGTCTAGATTATGGCAGTGTTGGCTATGGGGTGTTGATAAGGTGAATGTACAGCTTCCAGATACCAGTGCTTTATTTTTGCTTTCCAGTTGAGTGTGCTCTCGTTACTCCATCACTGTGGATTCAGATAGCACTTTGTTATTATGTAGTTCCCGTTTACATTTAAACATCTGTTCTTGTAGTGTATCTTAAAAGCTGTTTGCGTGAAGGGAAACTGAGATGTTTTCTGACAGATTGATATACCTTACAAATCTGAAGGCTGTCCAGACGGATTTTAGCAAAGCAAAATAGAGAAATATACTGGGATTGTGAATAGGGGGAGTATTGCTGAAGTTTTAACGTGGAAATCATCTTTGCAAGGTGAGAGATGTGTAATCAGCTTGAATGTGTCTGCAAAAGGGACTGAAAGAGTGTAGCTGTGCCTGAACTCAGACTTATAATGTGGAAAAAATCCACCTGTGTTTATATCTGATGTCTTCCATTTTTTTCTCTCTCCATATTTGTTTGTAGTTCCTTCAGAAACAGGTAATTTTTTTGGCAGTCACTCTGTCTCTGCATCTTGCCTTTCATAACGCTTCTGTTACCATAATATATAATGGAAGCTTAATCTCTTTGCTGGCGCATTTACAGCACTGTAAAACATGCATGTGTAACTTCACAGAATCATTTGGAATACCTTGCAGTCAGTCAATGACTTCTGTTCCCACCCTTGATTGTTACCTATCCTAAGCAGCTGGAATTGCAACCACTGAAAAGTTGCATCAGCACAATTATTCAGCACAACAATACCGTGGCTGTTTCAGAACAGTGTACCAATAACCCCAGAATGAGCCTGCTGGAGGCATCGGATGTAGTGAGAAGCTGAAATGATCTCACTTGGAAGTGTTAACCTTCAGCTGTGGAGGAATTATCGCAGCTCTGTTGGGGAACTGTGCCCCGAGGTCTCACCAGGTGGTTGATGCAGGTTTTTGCAGCTTCACACGAGCCCTAACAGTGGTTTCCCTCATTAGGGTGGCCTTCCTTCATTTGGCTTTCTTTTCGTCATTTTACTGATTCTTTTGTATTTGAAATGAATGCTTAGCTAATAGACATCTTTCCTTCTGTATGTCTTCTGTAACATTTTATTTCACATATGCTTATTAACAACGCTTAAATGCTGAATCGCTTCCCTGTTGTTTCTTTGGTCTCTTTGTATGAGTTGAGCATTTCATGAGACAGCCTGTCCTGTACCATACAGAGCTAAGCACAGTTCTGATAGAATGGCAATACATGGGGATAGATCATGGCAATATATGGGCAAAACTTGATTGTGAAATGGGCAAAACGGGGATAATAGGCTGTGTTGACAGTCTCTTAAGAAAAATCCTCAGTAATTGTTTAAACTCTGCAACACTGGTGGCCAACAAATCACTTCAGATGTTGTTAATTCTTTTCATGATGGCTTTCATGTTCATTTCTCCTCGTAGGATTTCGGATCTTGCCAAAAGTTAATTTAAGCCATACTCTTCCTATCTAGCACTGCCTGGTGGTTTGACCTCATCTTTTTTAAAGACCTGAAGTGTTTGCTTCTTAGTTTTCTTTAGAATTATAATGAGAAATTCTAGGCTGAAGGCACTCAGAGAAGCTTATTTTATTTTTAAAAATTCTTCTGTTTAAGTAATCTAAGAATTTGCAGACAGCTCTAAGATTCGGTTGCTTACAGAATAGAAAAGCTTGGCTTCCTTGATGAATGTTTTGTACTTTTTTTTCCCCCCTTTTACAGTACTTCAATATTGTAGTATTATTTCTTCAGCCATTTTCTTAGTCTGACTTGAATGAAACATGAACAAGTAAAAATACAAGCTTGTGATCTTTATCTTTTATAAAATTTTTTACAATTTGTATAAAAGATTGCATACCCTTAGTGCATTGGCTAATCAACAGCATATTTACTTTCGTATGTTGCTGAGAAAAAGAGTGTCTCTGAATCTTGCTGTGTGATGTGGGTAAGCTGCCACCTGAAAAAAGCTTGCAGGAAACAGCATTTCTCTGTTGCTGTCCCATTGAATGAGTACCCCAAGCTAATGGGTAATTGAGTTATACTGCAAAGGGAGTGCAGCTGTGTGCGTGCATGCTGGTGTGGTGAGTTGTGGAGACAGAAGGAACTCAGGAAATTGAGGGGAAGCTTGTATTCTGCTCATTTAAGGGATGGGATTGGGTACATTCATGCTTTTTTTTTTTTTTTTTTTTTTTTTTTGCTATTTGCATAATTTGTTAGCAGTTAGTTAAGCTCCCTGGACAACAAGCACACTGTAGAAATCTTGGATTTGCTGTAGGAATGGCACTCCCCAGGTAGTCCCATTCTTAGCAGAAACCATGCGTGCAGTTTGTGTATAACTTCTGGAAATAATTGCAAATAATTGTTGCTATTCTTTGGTACCTTGTCTCATACTTAAAGTTGCAAAAAAACCCACCCTGTGAATAGATTTATTTGAAGTTAGTCTGCACTTCCTGGTTTTTCTAAACATCAGCAGACAGCTCTCTGATGTAGTCTCAGGGAACACAGCAGCTACAAGAGGTGAATGCTGTTAATGTGTCTGCAATCCAGTTGTGTTTGGTTGTTCCTCAAAAAAATTGGTGAGCCAGTGTTTTCCTGTGCCTAATCAAACTGATTTCACCTCCATCCCTTCCCACTCCCTTCTAGATGCTTTTACTGATTCAGCCATCAGTGCTAAAGTAAATGGTGAGCACAAAGAAAAGGATCTTGAGCCGTGGGATGGAGGAGAGACCAGCGCTAACGAGGAGCTTGAGGCACTGGAGACAGATGTTGTAAGTAATGCTTTTTTGTTGGTTCTGGTGGTCTCTAGAAAGCAGGCTGCTTCTTTGGATGTGCCTTGCCACAAACATCCCTTAATTTTAATCTAGTAGTGGGGCTGAAGATGCTGGCCTATATCACTACACGTTCAGTCTTTGCTAGCGGCTGCCCCAACACTTTTAAAAAATTTGAGCAAGAATAGCTGGATTTCAAATGCCACTTTTGGCAAATATTGACAAATGGCAGCTGCTGGGGTAAGGAACTTGTTTGATTTGAGGACTGGCTGAAAAAGGAGCTTTTATTAAGAACTCCACATTCAGCAGCACACTGAAGTCGCTTATGTTTAATCAGAGCATTCCTGTCTGACGATCACTGCATTTGTGAATGATGGTGAAATTGTGCTTAGCTGTCTCGGAGCTAAGATGAAGGAAATTGATAGGAGACTGACCCATGGTTTAATAAGCACAGGTACAATCTCAGCAGATTATGCATCATTAGATGAAGAGTATGTTCTTAAATGAGCTTCTTTGTATATCATAGCAGTCAGCTTTTCCTCAACCATGCGTTCTTCTTAGCAAGGTATTGTGCTGCATTGTGTTAAAGGCAAGAATGGAGTCAAGTTATTGTGGAGAATATTAACTTTGTCTTGCTAGAACAGTTACCCTGTCAATTTTGGTGTATGTACTGTACAGCTGAGATTTGTTGGAATACATAATGCTGCCAGTGCTTTTATGAAACACTCAAAACATTAATCATCTGTGAAGGTTAAGTCTTGAGTGCTGTAATAGCATACTTCATAAAGTGGGGAAGTTGCCCTGATCACCAGGGGTCTTCTGCCTGCAGTGTGTGTCTCAGATAATTGCATTAATAGTGCTTTTGGGAAGTATCAGTGCTTGTCATAGCAAGGGATGCTCCTAACGTTCAGAACTGCATACTGCGTTGGCCAGTAACTAGTACAGAGTGGGCATGGTGCTTAAAGAACAGAAACCAACCAACCACAAAGCAAAAAAGAAACCTACCTGGCTTTTTAGGATCAAGTACATACATCTGATGAACAAAGACCCCTGAAATAAATCGTGGCTCTACTAACTTTCTGATATGAACAGTGAATTTGTAAGCCAAGACAAAAGAGCAAAAGAGACAAAAAAGGTTTGACTCCTGCCACCAGCCCTTCATTTTAAGGGAATGTGGTTCCAGTGACATTTTGAAAAACAAGCATTATTTTCTTCTAGTCCAATGGATGGGATCCCAATGACATGTTTCGTTACAATGAAGAAAATTATGGTGTAATATCAACATATGACAGCAGTTTATCTTCTTACACGTAAGTTCTGAAATATTTTCTTATTAGATTTATATTTAACGTTTTCCCTGATGTGACAAAACTTGTATTCTCACAATAATTTTATATACTTTCTAAGGTTTGGGATCAAATATCTGGAAAAAAAAAATAATGAATGAATAGTGCTTAAGAAACCTTGCCAGATTTCTGTGAATAGTTTATGTAGTAATCTGTATATATTCCCTTAAATGGGCACAGTTCATTCCCGTTGCAACATTTTCTGAATTTAGGCATGCAATAACGCTTAATTCTTAGAAAAACTTTTACAAGTGGAGTAAAAAATACCAAATTGTGGAACTATAATGTGTCTTTATGTAGCTGCCATATGCACAGTTTGTGTTTCACCCAGCAGAACAGTTGATTAAATCCTAATTTTATTGTGATTATTCCTAACGTAGGTATTGGAGTCTTGAAATGCTGCTGATATTTCGAGGGGGTTTTGTGCTCTGGGTAACTTATTTAGCAGACTTGTGCAAACCTAAAGTTTTAGTTACAGTATAATAACAACTTGAGTATAGAAGAAGTATGAAGTCTGCTGTGCTTTCTTTGGCAGCCTGGACCCATTCCCAGTAGTCTGCAGCTATAGCATTCACTGCAACTACAACACAAACCAGTTGCAGATGTTGAACAGCCATCGTGAAATGTCTTTATTTTCCCACTCTTTTTGCCCACAAAGTATTAAAACTTGGTTGTGAATGTCCAGGAATTGCAGTGATTATTTTTATTTTCTAATTTTTTGTCTGCACGTCTCTTGTTCAACGTTTTATTGTCACATTATAGATGTGTTTTAACAAAAGCTCAATTGGCGTTTGTCTGCATCCTAGGGAAGCTGTTCCTAGAGCAATGAAGTATACTGAAGTGCTCTTTGTACTTCTGAACTTTAGTCTGCGATCTTTCCGCTTTATGGTTATTAATGGACACAAATTAAGAACATGAAGGTGGCTTTTAATTGCTGGAGACAAATTCCATTATTTCCTAGCCAAGCAACTTGCTTTGCATTTTGCTGCTTTAGTTGGGAAACTTATTCTGATTTTCCAAGTGTACGATGAGCATGGTCCAGCTAAATGCTTACCTGTGCAATTGAAGGATTGTACAGGGTTTACTGTTCATTTTTTATCTTCCTAGAGCTTAGCAGTACCAGGTATAGTTTGTCAGTCTGCATAAAGGCACAAGTTCATGTTCTAGCAAGCAAGCTCCTTGGCTGTGTTGGTGGCTGCTGCGCTCACATGTATCTTATTTGTGAGGCCATGCTTTCTCTTTCATCCTCATAGCCACCATTGGTAATGGCAGCAGCTGGCCAAAAGTGTGTGTGAGGAGGGAGACTTCTGCTGCAGTAGCAGAGCTATGTGTTACAGTTTGGCAAAGCTACCTGCTTTCATAGCCTTGCCACCAAAACTTGAGTAATCTTGCATGTATTATTTCTTACTTGGGCTGTTTCTCCAACTACTTCCTTTGTTCTTTGTTTATATTATCCTAAATGAGTGCAGTACCTGTTATCTAATACCAAGCATTGCATGGTCGGAGTCTCAGCTCTGTGTAGCATGTTCTAAAGTAAAGTCAATGAAACAACCTTCAGAATTTAAAATTTGAACCAGAATCACAGAACAGTTATTTCATGAAACCTGACACAAAAATTAGAGCAGTGAAAAACAGCAATGGCAGATGGACAGAAGGCAGTGTCAGCTCAGTTGTGGTGTCATGTAGTTCATTATGTTAGTAATTCATTGCTCGTGTACTGAGTTCTTGTTTGGTGCCTTTCCCAAAAGGGCTGCATATGATTGTTGCATTGTGATATTACCTGATATTGTATAATGCGTAGAATGAATGGTTTTGAGGTTCCAGGACATGGAAAGTGAGTCTTGGGTTTCTGGTCCTGTGCTCTGAAGTACAGCATTCATCTTTTCTGCAGTTACTCATAACTGGAAGAACTGAAATTCTGTGGCTAGAATTATGGGAGGATTAAGTTTGTAACTCTTAACTTCAGTAGTGTTGGGACTCTTACATCTATTTGAATGTGTAAATTGCTAAACCAATTCAAATTTGGTCTCTTGAATTAGCTTCCTATCTAAATAATGGGCTAAGGCCTTTTTGTTGCTAATGTGCTCAGCCCTGTTAAAAGTTGGAGACTTTGCATAGCTTTAGGGACTTGGGAATCTGCATGTCCTAAGAAAAAGCTCTGCATCCTGACCTCAGTTCTCTAGGCAGGTAGACGGCACTGATTTTGTAAGTAATGCCAAACCAGTCCAGAAATATTGCTATAAATTCTTAAAAAAGCATAGCAAGTCTCCTGGCTTAAAAGCAGCTTGTGTGTTATTTTTTTTTAATTTTTAATATTTTGGTTTGCAATTTGTCCGTCTAGAATTAATGCTATATAATTTTGTAGGTTCTTTGTACTTCTGAATTCATTTCAGATGTTCTTTGCCTTCCATTGTCTTTCAGGGTGCCATTAGAAAGAGATAATTCAGAAGAGTTTTTGAAACGGGAAGCCAGAGCAACTCAATTAGCAGAGGAAATTGAATCAAGTGCCCAATACAAAGCTCGGGTTGCCTTGGAAAATGATGAAAGAACAGAAGAAGAAAAATATACTGCTGTTCAGAGAAATGCTAATGAGCGAGAAGGTCATGGTGTGAACACTAGGTACTTGCATACACTGTGAATAGTATTTTTATTTAAATGATGTACATATTTTGGTACAGTAGCAATTTACTCATTGAAACTGTGCTTTTTCAGCAGGGCTGATTAGGTTAGGAATCTTGTGTAAACAATCACTTGCTGGTTTTGGCACTTGTGCTGACCTGTACACCTCTAGTTGGCCCTGTGTTATCTGTAACGAAACAGACTTCTCCATTCTGATATTTCACTGTGGTGAATTCATACCAAATTACAGGAAAAGGCAGTGGTTTCAGCGTGTCATGGAGAATTTCAGGCCTTAGTACTAATGCATTCAGTGTCTGTGGGCTCTTAAGTAGTGGAAAGTACAGTGAGTATCAAAGGATAATTCATAGGGTGAATATTTGATCAACATCTGATTGTATTTTGAGCTTGTTTTGAGAAAGATAGGAAGTATCAGCAAAGAGTTCTTGAACTCGTTATTTTCCAGATCTTCCTCAATGCTGATAGAAATTTGCTGTGTTTCAGGGAAAGTAAGTACGTTCCACCTGGCGGGAGAAACAGGGATGTTCTGTCTTGGGGAAGTGGAAGACAAAATTCACCAAGGATGGGCCAGTCTGGATCAGGCCCACCAATTTCAAGGTCTGGATCCCACACTTCAGATTTCAGTCCTAACTCTGGAGCAGATCAAAGAGTAGTTAACGGAGGCAAGTATCTGAAGTTGAAATTAATGTGCCTTAGAAAAGTGCAATAAATTACCCAATTAATGTTGAAACTGCATGAGATGTGGTTTTAGTATTTATATTTAACAAGCTGCTTAGCATGCATCATTTAACACAGAGGTGGTGATTTTTCATCTGGGTATAAGGTATTGATAACAAAACATTCATTTGAATGCATCGTCTGTAGCTTTGCAGAGCAGCAGAGTGTCACCTGCTTTCTACCTTTGTCTTAGATGATGGTGCAGTCCGCAGCTTTAAAGATGAAAAATTGCTTTTTGAATTTTTTTGTGCTACTGCTTAGCTTTCTCTTGAGGAAAAGCAATACTGACATCTAGTGAAAGGGAGGTGGTGAACTGGAGGAGGCAAGTGCCTTCCTTCCTGGTGCTTGGATGAGTTCTGCTTCCTATTATAGAGGAGAAAGCAACTCGCTGGCTTTACCATCATGTGGGTGGAAAAACCATTGATGGGGAAACTAGGAAAAGTTATTACAGGAAAATCAGTCAAGTCTTCTCTCCAAATAGTTACTTGAGTGTTTTCTGCTGTATGCATAGGTAACATTTATGAATGGACATTGCCAGGCGCTGAATAGCAGAAATTGGTGGTTTATAAACTGAATACCAGTTTTTGGGAGATGGACTTTAGCAGTAGCCCACCTTTGAGGCACTGCTTCTATAAAAGTACTATTAAATGAGATTGCTGTGAATTAAAAATAATAGTAGTTAAAGAGAAAAAAAGCATAATGCTCAAGTGCCTCTATGTGGAGAGGAAGTCAGAGATATTTAAAGGTAAGTGAAACCTTCTTAAATAGAGTCAAATATAAAAAGGATGTACGACTGAGTCTTGCCCAAACAAGTTGAAATTTGTACTATCTGTGGTCTGTGCCATCCTATTACTTTGCTGAGTCAACATCATACACTTAGCATACTCAAAATGGCTTATAAATAAAACATATTTGATTTGGAAACAATGAACCCTATATCCTAGATTAAAATACCACATTAATACCACAGGTAACTGGTAGAGGCATAGATGTCAGGATTCAGACACTGAACACCGCTGTTTTTTGTAAAGATACAGTTCCTAGAATTGGTACTGCTCATCATTTGGTTTGCAAGTAGCAGTTTGTGCGTTCAGTCCTAGGCTGTACGAGAGCCTCTGGTAGCTGATGGAGGACCGATGCGTACTGTAGAACTTATACATGGTAGGCTAACAGATCAAACTTTACTGTCTATTCCTTAGTAGTATTTGTAGATCCTAATTAACCCTTTGGGGAGTTTGTGACGTTCAGATATTAAATTTGACCCAAAGCAGAGTCCATGATCTTACAGAGACTATTTTATTGGTTGCAGAAATAAATTAACCTACCCCCAAAGGGTTAAACGTGAGAAATCATTTTGTCATATTTTACTTTTTTTTTTCTGTTGACCTTTTTCCCCATAATTTTTCTTTAGTTTTTATACTTTCCTTCATATCATTTGTTCTGTCAGGTGTTCCCTGGCCATCGCCTTGCCCATCTCCTTCCTCTCGCCCACCTTCTCGCTACCAGTCAGGTCCCAACTCTCTTCCACCTCGGGCAGCCACCCCTACACGGCCGCCCTCCAGGCCCCCCTCGCGGCCCTCCAGGCCCCCGTCTCACCCCTCTGCTCATGGTTCTCCAGCTCCTGTCTCTACTATGCCTAAACGCATGTCTTCAGAAGGTACAATACCACAATTTGTTCATGTTTTTGTTTGTCTTTGTTTAACTCCTTTGTGAGTTTAATTACAAAATTGTTTTTCCTCTTCATTACTTAACCTATAATTTGTGTTTAACTTTAGTTTATCAGACTATTTCTATTAACCTTTTTATTTGAAGAGCTTTACAAAAACAAAATAAAGCTGTGAAATTTCCCAAGTTGGTATGAAATAAACTCAGCTTTGTAAACGCTGCTCAGTGTCTTAACCAACAACAACATGCAGGACCCGATGAGTTTAGAGAGCACTGTTAGGAATATCAAATTATAAAAAATACATGAAAACAGTTGTTTCACAAAAAGCAGTTTCAAATTTAACTAAAATGATTCAATCACCTTTTGTTTATTTTAAAAAAGAGAACACTATATTTAAACAAGTGCAGTGTGGAATGGGATAGGATAAGCTGCTTCAAAGATGAATCAGTAGAAAACATTAGGTCTAAGTGTGCACTGAGGCAGGAAAAGTCCCTGGTAGCCAAATGTATGCATGGAAACTTTGACACATGATCCTTGGTAACTGTATGCAGTAGAATCTGAACTAAATGTATTTGTACTCTGAATAAGGAAAAAATGTCCAAATTTTTAAGTGCACTAAAAAAAAAGCAAACAACCAAAAGCCTGTCCTGCACAGCACAGTCTGGCAATCCTGGAAAAATGTAAGGTGGCTACCTAAGCTCCCTGGAAACGTGCACTCTCTGCTATGATAGGCTCTGCTGGAGCCAGGTTAGAGAATTGTGCTCACTGAATCAGTAGCATGTTCTATGGCTTGCCTGATAAATGCTCAGCATGATCCGTAACCAAAAAGTGGACAGTAGCAAACATGTCTGCACAGTGTTCTACTGCCAGTTAAACTTATCAGTGTGGGATTTCTTTGAAGTAGCAAGATATAAAGAATCCGTGTACAAATTCAGTTACTTTTTGAGCACTTGTGATTGACTTGTCAGGCATGCAGTGAACTGCTTACTGCAACATGAGAATTGCTGGGAAGTGTATTCTGTAAAATATGTGCTTGTATATAAATTGGATTCAAGTGGGCTTTAGATTCATGATTAAAAAAGAGGCTGATGTTTAAAGTTTTATATAACCAGAAGAGGTACTTGGTATTTTAGAGCTTTATATAAATGAAACCAGGAAATTGCTACCTGTACTTCTGTTACTGATCTAAATGAAAAATGAACTGTCATCAGCCAGATTGTCTTATGCTCATCCACCATTTTTCCTTCTAGGGTATCAACATTTGAATCTGATCTTATAAAGAAAATGTTGTTAGGATGTAGAGACTGTATGGCTGCTCAGACTTGAGTATGACTTTTTTGTGGCAGCTGTATAAACTGTTCAGAATTACTGTATTCTCTTATGACTTCAGCTTCTGGTGTTAAACATGCATGACTGGAACCTTGGGATAACAATAACTTGTTTAGTTGCAATTTTGCTGACTTGTTAATGAATTGTGACCTGCTGCAGGCAATTCAGCCTCTGTGCAGAATGATCTGCTGGAATTCCCCACCAGCGTTGGTCAGCCAGGGTTGGCAGCTGCTCTGTAAATCAATGTTTGGCATCACTGACCACCTGACAAAAACAATGCAATCCTTTTTTTTTTTCCCTCTTGGAAATGTTTGACAGCTCAGAACTGTGATCATCCAGCAGGAGATGGACCACTAGTTTTTTTTTTTTGTCTTCTCTTGCTGTAAGCAATATTGGATGCTTGGATTCAAACTTTTAAATCTGGTAAAACTTCTAAATATCAATTAATATACTTTTTCTTAGTAAGGTGATGAGGATGCCGCTAGTCTGGCTGAACCAGTGGCTTGATCTTTTTGGTCTCACAGATCCCTGGTTCTAGTCTATGCCAGTGTGATTGCATTATTGTGAGTTACTAGGTTAAATCCACTTTTATAAACGGACAGTATACTTGAGTATGCTTTGTGATGGATGTCGAGTACTTATTGTGTGGGGTTGTCTTCTTTTTCTCAGGGCCTCCACGGATGTCTCCTAAGGCACAACGGCACCCTCGAGGTCACAGAGTCTCTACTGGTAGGGGTACAATTTCAAGTGGCTTAGAATTTGTATCTCATAATGCACCAGGGGAAGCATCTACTACTGCAGTGGCACGAGGCAGCCCTTCAGGTGGGACGTGGTCATCAGTTGTCAGTGGGGGTAGGTAAAGCTTGGCTTATTGCAGATGGCTTGCCAGGGGTATCTTAGAGTCTTAATGCTAAGCAGAGTGCTGCGTTTCTAGACAACCCAGGCTCTGAATACACTGGTCTGCTAACTTGGCTTGCTTAGATGAAGCTGGAGAAGGATGTTACCAGGTAGTTTAGTGAAACAACTGGTGAGTTGATCCTTAAAGTGTAATATTGTTAGAATTGCAGAGAGGACAGGTCAGTTGCTGTATGAAAGAAAGGAAAAATGTGGGAGTTGTTGAAAGAAATAACCTTCTGGCATGTTATTGAAGGAGATGAGAAAAAGTTAGATACTTTTCTACTGAATTTGGTTAGTGACAGCCTAGCTGGATTGTTATGGTTTAGAAAGGAGTGAGGCATTTGGGTAGAGGAAGGCTGGCATTACAAGAAAAGATGAAATAATACTCAAGTGAAGTTGGACGTACTTTTTTTCTTTAAAAAACTATGCAGATTCTAAGTGGTTGTGTTGTGTTTGTTGTAACTACTGTAGCAGTAGATAGAATCAATGTATTTTCTGAATCGGCTAACACTTTTTTTTTTTTTTTTTTTTTTCCATGTTTGGCTTTAAATGTAAAGCTCAGTCTTATGACAGCAACCCTGGTTTTGTAGTTGGGACAGTGTTCTGGTCAGTCGTCAGCAGCTGAGTGCTTTCTTGATTCCAGGTGCAAGTGAGCAACAGTTCAGAATCTGATACTTCTTAGTGGTGTTAGAATTGTAGAGAAGGGCGATGGGAAGGCATTTTTTAGGAAGCAGATATGACTTACTGCCTAACACATAGACAACCCATAGAACTGGTTGCCTTGTAGAAAAGTTCTAAACGCTTCTGTTCTGGCATTCTTTCCAATTCATCTTCCCTTCCTACACCGACTTTCTATATCAATGACATGCAAGTAGAACTGTTAAACAATTTACCTGTCTTTCTTCTTGCTCACTTGAAGTTTATGTATGAATGTATGACATAAAGGAACTAACTAGCCACTGTGGGATGAGCAGGAAGCAGGAGGTACAACTTACCTTTTAAAGAATACACAGCTTTCTTTGCTGCTTTAATGCAGGGACAGAAGTGGACCTCAGATTTTTCAATGAGATGTGCTGAGGTTTTTTGTCGTTTTTTTTTGGTTGGTTGGTTTTGGTTTTGGTTTTTGCAGCTGGCAAACCTCCAAAGGAGGGCACACTATAAAGTGGAAGGTGGTTGGCTGGTGTTTTTTTTCCCCCCCCAGCCTTTCAAAAAATGTTTCGTATTTGTGTGGAGATGCAACCACCTTTTTCTTTCCTGTCTGAAACTTTGTTAATGTGGGCTCTTGTACCACTGAGGGGCCAGAGACCACATTGCAGTTTCTTGGTGAATCTGCAGAGCAGTGATATTGTTAGGGGACAATCTGCAGGAAAATGGCACCATTTACCTGAAATGCTGCATTGTAAAGAACTAGGAGATGTACCTGAAAGGTAAACAGGTTTTCAGTCACTAGATAATGTTCCATTGAATATTTTAAAGCATGTTCTTAGTCATTTTAAAATTAAGCAAACTGCTGAGCAAATGAGGAAACTTATCCTATAACTGTTTTTTCCTGTTTGTTTCTAGTTCCAAGATTATCCCCTAAAACACACAGGCCTAGGTCCCCAAGGCAGAGCAGCACTCCTGCAGGACCAGCTCTGCCTTCTCCTCAGCCTGGTACTATTCCCACTGAATCTGTTGCCATGCCTGTTCCAGCTGCCTCTCCGACACCTGCCAGTCCTGCATCCAACAGAGCAGTTACCCCTTCCAATGAAGGTGAGTAACCCTCACTAGCTGGCAGATGCTTCCCTTGCCTCATCTCTGAAAATGAAAATGCCTTTACAAGATCAAAGCTGCTGTATTAAATGATGGGAAAAATTCTGACTGATGTGCTTGATTTTTATATGTCCTGAGTTCCCTTTTTCCCCACGATGATGACTTAAAAGTAAGGTTCAAAAGGCTTTTTAGTTAGACTGCATACTTAATTTCCCCTGCCCTTTATCAGGTATGGAAGTATGGGTGTTTGACCTAATTTAGAATATTTTTTTTAATGGTTTTTTTTTTTTTGCTGTTTTCTCATTTGAAGAAACTCAGATCACTAATTTCTTAGAATGTTACAAGCATAGTGAAAGAACAAACATTTCAAGAGCACAATCATAGAGATCTGACTCTCAAATCTTTGTAAAATTACATATGAAGAGCTTTTCTATCTGAAATAATTCCCTTTTGTTCTGAAGGGTTTTTTCACTAGCTGAGGATCTGTGTATGACTGGGAGGAGCAAGGTTTGGTTCACTTTTATTTGACTTAATAGCCATAGGATGGGCAAAGAGGAAGGATAACTCTCCAGACCCTAAAGAGCTAGCAGAAAATGTGTAACATAGAGATTTTCCTTTATAAGCTAAACATGGTTAAATCTCTCCTTTGTTCCCTTGTCATCTCTTTTTATTCAGTTTTAGTTGTGTATCAGAGAATAACTTTGACAACTTCTTTTCTAGCTAAAGATACCAGGCTTCAGGACCAGAGGCAAAATTCTGCAGCTGGAAACAAGGAGAATATAAAGCCAAGTGAGACTTCTCCTAGTTTTCCTAAACCTGAAAGCAAAGGTTGGTATCAAAAGCTTCCATAAGTACTTGAGTAATGTATAATTCTGAGCCCTAAACCTGCTATACTGACTAGTTTAATTAATGTTTTAAGGAAAACTTTGAGGCAATCTGTCTTGGGTGTTGTATAGGGAAAATCATGTCATGCAGTTCTAAAGTGACAGAGACCTACAGTTTTAAGTATTGCTCTTGACTCCTTTCATCTACTCAGAGTAGAGAGATATTCATGTGGATAGCGTGTTTTTTGGTGGTTTTTTTTTCCCTTCTTCCTCCTGGTCTGGATGGGGTTTTTACTTAGAGCTGTGCACACAATACTTCTGGTCATTGTGATCCACACAGGTTTTTTTTTTTAACTACACTTCTTCCTATTATGCCTTAATGTTGCCTTTTTCTCTGCAGTATTGCTTGTTACTGCATTTCTCATAAAAATCTTCTTGCACTGTGGAACTTGGTCAGCATTTCAGCTTTAACTGATATTTTTTAAATGCTGGCATGTTTTGCTTTGAGGGTTCTATTGCATGTTTCTTTGTGTTCATCTGGGTTCTGCAGTCCTTATACCTCAGGGCTTCTGTCTTAGTGTATGTCAGAACTATAGATGTGTCAGTTACATAATGCCATGCTCTTACAGACTATTTCTGTGTCCTCATACATGCAGATCATGGGATGATACCAAATTGCAGATAAAGTGATGTATCTATATTTAATTTCTAGATATGCAAGCATTGTCTTTTTGCAAATTTAGGAATGTGGTGGTTGTAGATAAAAACCTGCATTAGAGATGCTTGGACAACTCTGGTCTTGTCTTTGGCAGGTGTATCTCCAATTGTTTCTGAACATAGAAAACAGATTGATGATTTAAAGAAATTTAAGAATGACTTTAGGGTAAGTTTCTCTGTCCACTATCTTTAATGGTATCGTAGTTCTCATGCATCCAGATTACTTTAATGAGTTGAATACACTGCATATGTTAATGGGGAAACATTGCCTTAAAACTTGTGCTCAGTTTGTGGAAATGTCCATAAGAGCTCACACTGAATGTTATAAAATTCACTGCTAAGTCTTGCTTGTCTGATTGCTTAGTGCACAAGTATGCATATCAGCTTAAATACTGTATGCTGAAAATGCTGCTCAGAACCTGTGTGAGAGTTAGGTACAAAGAATTAACATGTTTCTGTTTAACATGTGCTGTGTGTGGAAAAGCTGCTTCAGAGTTTAATGGAGAGTTTAGCTGAGAAAAACTGGAGACAAACATCTGTGGTTCTACTGCATGTTTCCTGGTTGTAATGATTTACTAAATCAGGTCAGCTTTTCAAGAGTTACTGTTAAATGTCACGGAGGGGGCTGAGTCTAAGGCATGGTCTTAAGCTTTCCTGTCACTTCCTAATCAACATGTAGGTCAGACAACCTCTGAAAAGCTTCTTGCAGAGTGTAGGCTTAAAATGTTGTCAGTGTTCTTTTTTTTTTTCTACCAGAAATACGTGTTTGAAAAGGTCATTTCCAAATGGTTGAGGTCTATGGAACTGTACTGTACTCTGTGATGGTGTTAGGTTGTTGTTCCTAGTTTTGTGTATTAATTTAATGGACATATACCTTGGGTTCTTTTCCAGTTACAGTCAAGTTCCTCTTCAGATGCAGTGGATCAGCTGCTAAACAAAACCCGAGAAGGTGAAAAATCGAGAGATGTAGTTAAAGAAAAGACAGAACCAGCCCCTAAAGAACCTATCATAGAAACTGGCAGTAATACTAACTCTAATGGTGGCAGTAGCAAACCCAATAGTCCTAGTATTTCTCCATCAATAAGTAATAGTTCTGAGCAAAAGCGAGGGCCGGAGGTAACTTCACAAGGTGTACAGACATCTGGTCCAGGAAGCAAACAAGATAAAGAGGATAAAGAGGAGAAGAAGGATACTTCTGAGTGAGTAACTATGTCTTTTAGAATAAGCAAATCTGTTATTAGCATTTAATTGTTAGTACAAAAGCTATTATGAACATGTTATATCCTAATGTTTATATGACTGATGTAATTTGTCTCTTAATTGAGCAAAGGAAACAGCAGATGAGATGCCTGTGCTGAATGAAAACCGTCTTATGAGTCAGTGGTAGAGCTGCAAGCGTAGCTCTAGTCCTCTTGATGTCTGTTCTATGTCTAGATGATGAGTTAAGTGTTTTCCTGCCTCGTGTGAACTGAAGTATCAACAGCAGGAAAACTTCTTTGTGGAGAAGTGCAGTATGAGTAGCGTCAGTGAGAGTGGCTTTTTGTATGCTGTGTTGTTTGAGTTCTCAGAAATCTGACGCACAGATGGAAATGAAATATTTAATCTCTGTAGATTTTTAATCGTTAGGGAGTTCAACATATGTGCTGTAATGGAATAATGCTCAGTGATGTATTTTGCTGTTCTTTATGTTTAGGCAAGTTAGAAAATCAACACTGAATCCTAATGCAAAAGAATTCAACCCTCGATCTTTTGCTCAGGTAAGTTAATTGATAGTGTTTAACATTTGCTCAGAGGCAAACCTTTTACTTGAAGTACAGTCAAGCTAATCTTACATATGCATTGCTGAACTCTGTTTGTAGCCGAAGCCTTCTACTACACCAACCTCCCCTCGCCCACAAGCTCAACCAAGCCCTTCCATGGTGGGCCATCAGCAGCCAACTCCAGTGTACACTCAGCCTGTTTGTTTTGCACCAAATATGATGTACCCGGTTCCAGTGAGTCCAGGCGTGCAGGTAAAGTGCAGCACGTAATGTAAATTTGTTGACACTTTTCAGATGATTGTCAGCCAAAAGGGGAGAATTAGGACATCTAAGTATTACTCCCGTAAATATCATAGAATCATAGAATCACCAAGGTTGGAAAAGACCTAAAAGATCACCCAGTCCAACCGTTCACCTATTCCCAATAGCTCCTGGGAACAATTACATTGTTGTTCAGTTTTAGCTATGTAAATACTGACTTTCCCCCAGTGGCCTTTCAACCTGAGAGCTATAATAGTCTCAAACACTTGTAAATTCCAGCAGCTGTTACTTGCATTTACTGTTAATCTGCACAGACCTCCTCCCCCTTGCTCCCAGCACAGTACTGCTAACTTAAGTTTTAAGCAACTGGTTTTTTTTGTCCTTAGCTTCCAGCTGTGTCCCACTAATTTCTGCTTGTTGCAGAGATCACAGGGCTTTCAGACCTAACTGCTATAAAGTTGTCTCATTTAATACATTGCTTGCAGTAACAATACTAGCATTACTTGGCAGGTTATTGCAAACCATATGGTCTTGGTTGGTTGTACGTGCAGACTTAGTCACAGTAGTGAAAGAAAGCATAGGTTAGGCAGAGTTCACTAAACTGTATTTGAAATCTGGAATATTTTTTTTTCTCTCTTCCTCTTGCTCAAAATGGTTGCTGGTTATTAAAAAAAAATGTGGTTAACAGTCCTAACGTTGTGGTTAAAGGTTTTGGTAGTGGAGGAAGCAATCAATCTTGATGTAACTTTGCTCTCATAAAACACTCATTATGCTCAGAATGTGTTAATGAGTGATTCAGTTGTCAGCTTCAACAAGGTCACAAGAGTTCTTCTTGTTTGGAATAAAGGAGTTTGCAAGAAACTTCTGTGAGGCTTCAGTCTTATGTTTAACCTAAGGCATTACATTTGTATAAATAGTCTCTGAAAAGAGTTTGAAAACCAGGATATGGCAGGTCTTGAAACCAATTTCATGGTGGAAACTTATTACAGAGAGTTCTGATATGCCATGATGAATGTTGTGTTTGTTACCTGTGTCAGTAAAGTTTTAAGAAGAAAAATGGCTTCTAGTATTATGAGAGGTCATTGTATTTCTTTTTTATTTTTCGACTTAGAGTGAAAGGTCTGAAAGCCGTTCACCCCAAAACAGACACATACACATTTTTAAAAGGAATCTTTAGCTTAAACTCCTCTTCTGTTTCAGCCTTTGTATCCTATACCCATGACGCCCATGCCAGTGAACCAAGCCAAGACATATAGAGCAGGTAAAGGTGAGAATAATACTGCCTGTTTGGTTCTTAGTTTGCATGCAGCATGAACAAAATAACAAATGTTTGTGTATTTTCTAACCCATGTGCTTTTGTTTTCAAATTGAGATTTTAAATACTATTCTTAAGGAAGGTGAGTTAAATGGAAATAGTCGTTTCTAGGTAATGTAATTTGGCCAAATCCATTGTAAGTTTGAGTAACATGACATTTCTGCTTTTGGAATTTAATTTAAGAAACTGGAAAATGTCTCTGTTACTTGGAAAATTAGTGTAAGCTGTTTTTCCTCCTATTCCTCATAAATATTACAGATTTGTTTAAAAGGGAACTTGGTGTATTCTTTGTACCGATTTGCAGCAGAGCCCTGAGCGGTGCCTTAATGGAGTTTTTGTCAATGAGAAGAATCTGTTTTTTCAGAAAGAGTATAGTTATGCATCTGCAAATGACTTTTTCCTGGTTCCAGTTTGTTCTTTTGCATTCCCTCTGCAGCAGCTGGACTAACAATGCCATTATTTTAGAAGTGACACCTGTGTGTGGTGAGATGCACTCATCTCTTCAGTGCAGAGAGGGAGCAAAAGCCCACAGTGGTCTTATTTTTATAGCCCTGTTTCAGATATTGTTCTAATTTGACATAGTGCATGCTTTCTTGCAGCGTTGTACAGTGGTTCATGATGGTAGGTTCCAGTGCTGCAGATCAACTGCTGCTGTAGGAAATTATTTGAAAGAGCAGTTTAGAAGTAAACAGGTGGCTTTTTGAAAGCAGGGAAGACAAAAACCTGCGATGTATTTCTGCTTGAAAAGCACCAGCTTCTCTGTGATCTGACTAATGAAATGTTTTAGTTGCTAATGCTGATTGCTTTAATTAGAAGTGCTGATGGGTACTCCTGCCTTGCAAGGCCAGTCTCTGCTCTGCATTCCTTTCCAAAGTGTCAGTATTTCCTCTGTATCCGTTCATGGGTAGCCCTGAAGAACATAGCCCTGAAGAAGCTGCATGAGTTCAGTGCCTTTACCGTCTTCAAGTTGTGTTGTGTATTTACTTTTTTCATTTGCTGGTTTGCAGTGTAAACATAATCATTATTGAGTGAATTCACTGACATATCTTCAACATTTCCCTCTCCCTCTGCCTAAGAGGTCTGACAACGTTGCATTCTGCAGTGGAGTTTACAGGTGCTTGAGTTAGATCAGTTATTAGTTACATGCTCACTACAGCAAACTGGAGCTCACCCAAAGCTATCATGCCCTGTTACTTACTCCCACACTATGGCACGCTGCTTTCTTAATCTTTTCAACCCTCCAATTATTTCTATTCCTTTTCTTCCTATGGATTGTTTTGTCCCCTTCAGTGTAGACCATGACCTGAAAGTTCCTTTACGCTATCCTGAAGGATAGCACAGAGATTAAGAGATGCAAATACCTAAAATTGCAGCTGTGTGGAGACCTTTATTCTGCTCTCCTCAGCCGTGAGCATAAGCAGTGTTGAAACTCAGCTTTCCAGTTGATGGAGCAGTTGCTGAGTGGTTCCCGTAGAGGATAAATGAAGCCTTTTGAAGGGGGTAGGATCAACCTGAATTAATGTAGGTGTCCTGACATAACCCTTCTCTCTTGTTGTTGATTCTTGTCAGTCTCTTTCTCTCTTCACCTTTCTTTCTTCACAAAATAAACAGGTCTGAGTTTGTGGCTGTGTATATGTTTAAAAGACAGTGATGACAAATGCTTTTTGGAGGAACTCCTTTTTGTGTTGTTGCTTTCTAATAGAACTGTAATAAGGAGGTTAAAAATAAGAGCTGAGGAGCTTCCGTTTGGTAACAGTGGCACTGTAATATGAAAGCTTTCAGTAAAACTAGCATTTTTCATCCTGTATTTCTAATGTGTGGTGCTTTTTGCTTTGCAGTACCAAATATGCCACAGCAGCGGCAAGACCAACATCATCAGAGCACCATGATGCACCCTGCCTCAGCAGCAGGCCCTCCAATTGTAGCTACACCACCTGCTTATTCAACACAGTATGTTGCATATAGTCCCCAGCAGTTTCCTAATCAGCCTCTTGTGCAGCATGTGCCACACTACCAGTCGCAGGTAAGAGTCCTTTTGCTGTATGTGATATGGCATGACAGATAGACAAGGGATTCAGTCCCAAATACCATACTGTGTCTGATCTTAAGTCAGTCTGGAAGGTTTCTCTGTTCTGGAGCATATTTGGTATTGTAAAGTGCTTCAAAGCCTTTAGCAGTTTTAAGGTCAATTTAGAAGCTGTCATTTGTTGTTGATATTACCTTTTTTGAGTAATTCCTTTCAGGTCAGAGACAGGACATCTAGTTAAGCTCTGAAAATACAATTGTACTCTTAATGCAAAAGCTTTTAAATAAACATACTTAATTGGATAAATATGTGATCATGTACGTAAGCTTACGTAATTAGAGTGGCAGAAATTAGGCATGCCAGTGGTTTTTGTTGGCTTCTAATCCACTGCAGAAAACATCCTTATGTTCTTAGAACAACTGGGATAGGCGTGATAGTACAAAATTCTTGGTTTGCCCTCTGTTTTCAGTAAGGCCAAGCTATTGCTCTTTCTAAATACATAATCATTGTTTAGATCCGACTAGTTTCTTGTAATTATCTTAACTGCCTGTTTTTTCTTATTTCTGTTGAATGCAGCATCCTCATGTTTATAGCCCTGTAATACAGGGCAACGCTAGAATGATGGCACCACCAACTCATGCACAGCCTGGTTTAGTATCTTCTTCTGCAACACAGTATGGTGCGCATGAACAGACGCATGCTATGTATGGTAGGAAACGTTTTGTGTTATATGTAACTTTTTAAGCTCTTACGTTGTGCAGGGATATATTTAAATCTCGAGTTTCAAATATGGGTATCGCTCAAAATTACACCAGTAAATGTGGTTTATATATCATAAGATGATGAGCAAAGCATTGAAAACTGAGCCATCTGGTTAAAATGAAAGCTCGAGTGTGCTGATTTCAGTAGGATGCCAGTGACCAAGATGAAATTTCAAGCTGGGAGCTGCTAAAGAATATCTGCTGAAAGAAGTTTGTTCAAGTTCTCTTGATGCCCTTGACACAACATCCCTTGATTGTTTCTTGTTTATAAGTAGGACTGGTTTTATTGCAAGGCTGTGACCTCAGTTTCACAACTTGACTTTAGTTCTGACAACTAGTGAAATGCTGTCTTTATGATACTACTAGCATTATTAACAGTACAAACACTACTGTCTAAGCAAAATAAAACTTGTGTTGCTTACCTTTCTTTTTTGGTAAGTCAAGATTGAAGTATTTGAAACAACTCATGTATTGCTTTGACTTTGGTCTTCAGCATCACCAGATGAGCATATTTCACTTAGAGTGAAATGGCGAAAATGTGGGTTTCCTTGTTACAAACTATAATGTGAGAACTTCTAAAGCATTGCAAATGTATGATAAATCAATGCCCCTTTTGGAGGGAAAGCCTCACTGCAAAACATGGTATGGAAAGAGGTAGAATCAAGGTTGCTAGAAGGCTTGAAAATTGTCATAAATTGTCAAAACGACAGATGGTCTCTTGAAAACATGGCATTTCAATACTTGTTACAGCATCTGAGACTTTTATTGGGTCACGTATATTATTGACTTAGATTCTAATAAAAGATTTTCTGTACCTTTAGACATCTTTGTATGTTTTCCGGTGCTTAGTTTTACTCTAATACTGAATGGAATTCCATGATGTGTCATGAAAACTTATCAAGGCTAAAAATCTGAAATTTAGACTTGTTTAAATCAAAATTAATTTCACACTGTGTCTTACCCATCTGGAAACATCCTGTCAGATCTCTGCAGTGATATGGTAACGTAGTAAAGAAACAAAAATAATAGCAAGAAATCTTTTTTGCTATTTAAAAGAACACCTCAGCTCATTTGTAATAAAGTTGAACTGGGAAGCTACATGAAGAGCTTTAGTCTTTCTCTCACAGGTCCTTACTAAATGTATTACTTTGATCTTTTCAACTCTTGTGCTTGAGGTGTCCATGTAAACAGATCTTCTGTTTGCTTTCTCATTAGATTAAATAGAATTCTGATACAGTGAACGATCAAAGGCTTTCAGACCTTTATTGGTGAAAACTCTCCCCTCAAACCCTGATGAAAATAAAGCTAGACATGAGAGAATCTCAGAAGCTTTGTTCAGAATGGTTGCTTGTTACTTCCTAGCAATTTCCCACTGTGCACCATCCTTCTCTTCCATGAGCACTGGGTTCTACAGCATTGAAGTACAAGCCTTTTCCACTTGTTTGGCTCTGATAAGAAGTTTGCATAGTTTTTTCACTGAGATTCTAACTTACAACAGTTAGTTCTCATTTTGTATTGGTTTGTGTTGGCTTATCTGTTGTAGGTATTTGACCAGCTACCAATATGCACAACTAGGCTGGGTCAAAATTGAGAATTCTTTAATATTTGCTTCCACGTAATTCAAACAATACTTTTCCACCTAATTTACAGAAATTGCATGTCTTTGTGCTCTTTCAAGTGCCTACTGGTGACTCTTCCAAACATTCTCCCACCTTCCCAGTAAAAGATCAAGCACTTAAAATTCTTGTTTATAGAAAACATTCAGCCTGGTTGGATCCTGAACACCATATGAGACACTTTTTTTAAAAAAGACTGTTTGGTCTTGCCATGTGTAAATGTGTTTATTGCCTTGTGAACATGGGCTGACTCAAAGTTTACAGTTAGTTTACCCATGGAATGACTTCAGATATAGTGCATCACTCTCGATTCCCAAGTTTTTGCAAGGCTTTCATGTGTTACTCAAAGACCTTGCCTAGGCTGATGATATTTCCTGAAAATGTGTCCATCTATAAGATCACTGGCTTCCATTTATCAATACGTGACTGCTTGGAAGAAATGTAGAATTGCCTAAGGTAGTAGATGAATGCTGCTTATGGAGTGAAGTGCTGACAAGCAACTTGCTGGAATCGTTGCCTTCAGTTTGAGTGACAGGTAGTTTTGAATGGTAATATACAAAGGTGTTTATAACTTATGTTCTGTATTTTGGGGATCTTAAGCTTACCCATGGAATCTTTGAGCGAAATATACCACCACACACTGATTCTGAATCAAATTTGGTCCTCTTTTTGGAAGCAGTTTGAAAATCCAGAATAACAACTTCCTGAGAAACAGCCATTGCTGCTTTTGATTTCGGAGCGTTTGCTCAAGCAAGTTCTCACATTTCCCTTTGGCTCTTTAAAATAGCAGTCTGATCTATTTTTATTTTTATTCTCTGACTTCCCTCCCCGCCCCCCATTCATATCAGGATTCAGTGGGTTACAGTGTCCTTTTATCCTTCAAGGTTCTGGTGCTTCCTTTGAGATAATTCTTGCAAAATTCACTCCATTTTTTTCCTGTGTATGTGGTAGAAAGAAGATGTCTACAAGGACAGCTGCGCTGAGCCGTGGGGGTTGGGGCACTGCTTATGAGTTCTTAAGGTGTGAAATGTTTTCTGGTGAGCTCTGAAACTCCATCTTCTTCAATGGTTTGGGACAAGTGAATGCCTGTGGCAAGCAGCAGCTGCCTGGCAGTGAGGAGGAATGCTTGTTGGTCCTCACTGCCGTGAGATTGGTTTTTGTTTTCGTTCCTGTCTCAGGAAGTGAGTTCTCAGTTCCAAATACACAGTGACTTACACTTGTTTATCTGCACTTTTTCATTTTGAAGCAAAATATTTTTGTCTAATGGGATATTTCTGCACTTCTGGGATTTCTTTGCCAGTGCCTTGCTTGTGTTCCCAAACTGCTGCTGACAAGAGAAGCAGAGAAGCCGAGCAGCTCAGCTGTGTGCTCACCACAGGCCCATCTGAGCACAGAAAAGAAATGTGTAAATCCTTGAGCTTTCCCCCTCAGAACACTATGGGGAAGGCTCACACAGCCCTCTTTCATCTTGTCAGCCAGTCAGACTGTACAGATGGCTCTTACACATTTCAGCTCGTAAGTTCTGGAGACAAAAGCTTCCCTTAGCATGGGAAGTTGACATGTGAGTTCTGCAGGAGCAGAGCAGCACACTCTGATAGCTGCCCCACGCACACCCCATCACACTGACCCATCCTCACCCTGCACGTAGGTTTCAGGACACACACACCACCTTCCACCAAGTGTTGGCTCTGTATGGTCCGTATTGCTGCTCTGGTCAAGTTTGATGGCTCACAGCTTGTTCCTATGTTGCCCAAAGACACAGCTTGTCCCGTGGCATTGGCAGAAAATCTGGTTATCTAAGCTGAGGGTGGATGTATTTCTGTGTCAATTAATTGCTGTGTTACCATGTAGCTGAACTGTGTATGCTTGTAGAAACTGGAATTCTCTGAAAAACTTAACTTTTTTGTTTAGAAACAAAACAGAAACTTGTGTAAAACCAGACCTTGGTTTTGTACAGATGCATTTCCTGTTTTTTGTGCTGTCACTCCTGTCCCCATTCTCCCTTCCTCTTTCCCCTTCTGCATATGTTTTGCTGGTCTGGTATTGTCTCTAACTTTATCTGGTTTCTGTCTCAGCAGTAGAGTAAATTCTATTACCCTGATAGTACAATGGTGGATATAATGTAAGCTTCAAAGGATTCTCCAGGGACTAAGTGAACCAGTCACCAAAGGTGTCTTGGAACTGTTAAGAATGACAGTGAAACAGTTGAACAAACAAGGGGGGCAATTTATGATTTAATGTAATTACATTTTAACCTTCTTGTTACAGTGGATTGTAATAGATAATGAATTGACGTAAAGTTTATTTGTGTTAATGCTAAATTAAGAACTGAAGACCTCAGTATCACAGTGTAGAAGGAAGGCTTACCTGAGACTCGTGTTGTTTCGTCTCCACTCAGTTGTAAAACTAAATATCCAACCCTAATATCAACTAAGTAAATACAAATATCTGCATGATTCTATGGTCTTTAGAACAAAAAAAAGACACTGACCTTTCCAGAAGACGGGCAGCATGCACGCGGCAAGAGGCTAATTTACCTTTCTATTTCCCAAATTCAGCATGTCCCAAAATACCATACAGCAAGGAGACAGGCCCTTCTTTCTACTTTGCCAGTGAGTTGGGTTTTTTGTACTAATTTTGATTGTACAGAAAAGCACTATCTAAAGAACAGATGTTAAACGAATGGGACGTGTTGAGGGGAACAGGTTTCCTTGCACCAAACCAGTATGTAGAAAAGGCAGGGAAGTTCCTTTCAACAGAATAAGTGTTAAACAGATTTAAAATACCACAGGAGCATGGGTTTTATTGAGTTGTTTTGTTTGATAAATGTGTTTTAACTTCTGTACCCACTCTCTTCATCTGCAACCAGAAAAGCTGTCCACACGTGGCACTCATTTCCTTAGGTGAACTTTCTTGTTCCCTTTCTTCCATGGCCCAACTGGGATGCAAGACTTTGCAAGTTAATGAACTTCCTTAAAAGGAGGAGTGCCTCATCTCTTTAGAAGGCTGGAGCTCGAGCTCAGAGCCCCTGAGAGGAATTCGCTCAAGCTGCAGCCAGGATGAGGGACACTGTTTGCATCTCTGTGCTGTGCTGTCCCTGCTGGTGTTCTGGGCAAGCACTGAGTAAGAGAGTCCCTGACATCTAACGAGCAGTGCTTTGGTGTTCATCACAGAGCCCCAAGGAAGATGTTTGGGGTGGTTGGACTGGATGGGGTGGGCTGGAGCTGTCAGCTGGGACCTGGGGAAGGGAACTGCAGCTTCAAGGTACTGTCAGACTTGCTCCTGTACTGCACACACTGTCTTGTGTGGCCAGCTGCAGCCCATGCCAGGCACTCTTCTTTCTATTTTTGCTTTTTTTTTTAGATAACCTGATACATAAAAGATGTGAGAAATACCACTTTTCTCCAAAAATCTCTTCTAGAGCAGCTATCCTGTGTGTCCCTTGTACAGAACTGGTTTTACCTAAGCTAGTCTTGTGAGATGCTGACCTGTACTCTTTTATACATATTGATTTGGTGCATGGAAATAATTTTAAGAAGCTCGTTCCTTTAGTGGATAATCTTTTAAGGAAGTCCACTATGCCTATGTGAAATGACTTCTGTAAATGTTGATATTCCAAAAGAAACATTGCTATTGCTTTGCTTCCTACCATTCAGGTCTTTTAAATGTAGTTATCCTCACCATCTTACTGGATCTGGCAATAGTTTTGAAGTTTGTTCGCTGGTCAGTTCTTGAAAATAGGGTTCAGGGCATCTTTGGATGATGGCCACCATTGGCAGCACTGAGATTCCTACCAGGGGAATAAGAAATTACGTAATATGGTTTCTACATCTGGGAGTTCTGCTTGGTTGCTGCTACTCTACCTCTTGATTTCAGCTCCTTTGCTGGGTTTGGTAGCTGGCTTTGACATGGATTGCACTTCTGTAGAGCTGAATTCAGTGATTAAATGCATCTGATATTTGTGCTCTCCTCACTGCTGCCCAACTTACCTTCGCTGTGTGTATCTCCAGGTTAGTTCAGTTACGTATCTCTCCTGCTGGGAAACAATCAAAAAGATGCAGCAGGTTTCCTCAAGGAGCATTTCTTGGGGAGAGAAACGTAGGGCACAAAGGTGAGAAGCAGTGTGTTTGTGCTAGAAGGGAGGCAGCAAGGGGATCTGTGGAGCTGTTTTGTCCTTGCCTGGGGCTTTCCTGGTGCTTTCTTGGTTACTAGATGGCCAATTGAAAAATCTACGAAGTTCTGACATGGGAAAATGTTGGATGATCTGTTATTTGTTGGTGTTCTTTTTGGTTTTTTTCGCCCTCCTGTCTTGTCTGGTTTGTAGTGAGCTGTTTTGATGAATAGGGAGAAATTTGTTAAAAAAGCTGTTGAACTTGCTTTAGTTGTGGCTTTGTAGGTGAATTTCTGGAGACCATTTTGCAAGAGGCTCGCTGAGTTGCTTCAGAGATTTCAGTGGCTTGTCATAAGCTGTTAATTGCAGCAGCTACGCGTGGAAACCCTTCTACATTCCTAGAGCTAAAATTTGACCTCTAGTTTGAGGTAATGTAGATCAGTGCACCTATTTCAGACTTGCTGCCACTCTTCCTGAACCACTTCTGATTTGTGTCCAGGATTTAGATAAGTGTGCAAACATCTTCTTTTGAAATGCACTTTTAATATTAATATTGCTATTAAAACATAATTTGCAGCAGCATCTCTGCTCAATTTAAGTGAACTTGTAGAGATATTATAGTGAAGACAGAACAGGAGAGGAGAAGCTGGGGAAATTACAATTCTAATAACAGAATTTTTGTTCTGCATAGCTATGGCTGAGAGACTCTTGGTGTGTTATGGGAGCTGATGGTATGACACTTCCCCACCCTTCCCTATTTTGGGGGCACAATTCTTCAGTTTCACTGTTCTTCTGTGAGTGAAATTTCTCCTTGTGAACTTTGATTGTGTGATGTATCTGTATCAGAATAACTGTTTGTTATTCTCTGGGCCACAGAGAAATGAAAGATGAATTGCACTAATGGTTTCAGGGAGTACCACGTTATTTTGGGGCTCTTAACAGGCAGTGTGGCAGGATGTGGGAAGCCTTGAATATCTTATGACTTGGCATTAATTTCCATGTATATTCAAAAAGCTCTTGAATGGAGCAGAAGGTAACTTAGAGGAAGAAGACGTGCCAGCTCTGCGGCCAAGGTGGTGGAATGAGAGCTGGGGAAGGCAGATCTTTGGTAGCCTGCCCTTTGGCAACAAGTGGATCCCACTGTGAGCTTATTACTTTGACAGAGGTAATAACATCTGGCCTTCTTCAGAGTGTTGTATAATAACGAGGTTGAGAAAATTTTCCTGCTGTAGGAAACTGTTAGTTTCATACTGTAAAAATAATCTTGGTTTCCGTTGTTCGTTTTGGTGTAGTGTTTGTAAGGGGGAGTGGTGTTTGAAAGCTGTCCAAATCTGAAAGTGGTAGGGATGCTGCTGCAAAATAAATTTTAGTAGTGATATGAGAAACAGTAACTTCTCTTGCTGCTGATGCTTTTGGAAGTGTAACTAAGTGCTCTGTGTGGCAGAAGATAATGTGGTTTTTGCTACGTGTGTCGTGCATGAGTACACTTCAGTGGAAGAACTCAGGGTTACAAGTGCATATGGAGTTCACCTGCATTAATGCCTGAAACGCTGTGGTGCGCATCATTGTGAGACCGCTTGCTAGGGAAGGTTTAGTAGAGCTTTCAAGACAGCAGGGTGAGATTAAGTTAAATATGGTGAGCAGTTCCTTTGTAAAGGAGAGACCTCCGTAATGGCCTGCACAGGGGAGAAACGTTTCCGTTTGACAAGAAGATGCTGTATGCTTATATACTGTTAAGTCTCAGTTTTCTAGGAGTGGTGTTTGCCGCTTTACAGCAAACCCAACTGCAGGAAAAGGAGTGTTTGCAGAGGGTAATTGTGTGTCAAGCACAGCTTGATTGGTTGCTGTCTGAGACGGGCTTTTGTTCTATAGTGTTGTGCTTTCAGATGCAGCTATGTTTTCATGTTGTTTCTCCTCCCATCTTGTCTTTTGTCCTTTCTATATATTCAAGCAGTTCTGTGTGTTCATGAGCATAGAGCCCAGCACAGTGAAACTCCTTAGAAGCTGCAGCAAGCAGTTGCCTGCAGAAATAAGACCCTGTATTTCTGTAGCAGGGGGAGACGGTTGCAACACAGCAGCTGCACTTGGAGTTACACCTTGTGCTCTGCTTTCTGGTTTTAGTTACTAAGGCAAGAAAATGCTACCACAACACTACCTTGTAAAAAAAAAAAAAAAAGCCCTGACAAATAAACAAAACCACTTCAAATTCTCATGCAATACAAAAATACAAAACCCCTGAAAGAAGCTGTCACCCAGCAGTGAGCAGTGTGATTAGCTTTGGTCAGAAAGACAGCACGTACCAGAACAAAGGAGGAGCAGTTGCAGGGAGCAGATTCAGAGAAGTTGTTGTTTGCTTTGGTTGTTTCTCTTCCAGCACCATTGTCAGCAAAGCTATCCACAGTCCTGACAAGCTGTAGAACTGGAAGGAGGAGTGCACGTGTTCACGTGCAGAAGTGTAGCTGCAAGCTGCGGAGAGGTTGTGGCACAAGATCTAAAAGCAGCGGAGGGAATAGGCAGCAGTTTCATTTTTTAAGGTCTTACTTTCCAGTTGTGCACTTGTTGTTTGTAGGAAGACTTGCTGTTATTATGGCTTTTCATGGTTTCTTTGATTCCCTTAGATTAAAAAAAGTAAAAAGGGGAGGAAGGGAGGGCAACGTAGTGTGGCCCTTTTTGAAGTAGAACTGGGCAGGCCTTCTTGGAAAGGATCTTGTTGATATTAGCTTGCTGTTGGGACACTGGTATGGCTGTAGAAACAGATGTGGTTCCACTTGTGTGAGTTTCATATTGCTATGTTTTTTTCCCTTTTTTGGAGATTCTTACCTTATTTGCTACTGTTTCAAGGAATTAAGAATTTCATGGTAGTGTTGAAAAGCTCACGTAATGGTGGTGATCCAGAAAACTCTGTAATCGGCCTTGAGGGGAGGGAGAGAGACATTATTCTAGTGCAAGACGCTGACTGCTGCAAAAATTCCTCTGCTCTGATGTTTATACTGTGTGTCCCTGTAGCTCTTAAGCATACATGCACTGTATATGCTTTACACGGACTGTACTGTGAGCAATTTCCAGAAGAGTAGCATGGTGAGGTTAGCCAGGTATAAGGCCAAATAATTTTTTGGATGGTGGAAATAAAAATGGCTTGTAACAGCTTTTTAAAGAGCATTTCAGGAAAAACTAAATTGTATAGATAAATTTGATATCTCAAACCAGTCTATTTGACAAAACAAAGATGAAATACTGCTTTTCTCATATGTAGTATCTGTTGCATTGTCAAACTAGGGAAGATGAACTGTCTAATTATGGTTATTTATAGACTGCTCTGCAAAATCTACATGAACGCAAGGTAAGATACTCAGCTATTTGCAAGATAAATATTTATTTTAGAAGGGGGAGGGAGTATTTTTACAGTATGATAGAGATATAACGAAATCTTCAAGTGCAGATGGTGACTTGATGAAATGTATATTCCATGTCTGTTGTTAAATATTTGTCTTTTTCATCCTAGTTTCCACTGGCTCACTTGCTCAGCAGTATGCCCACCCTAATGCTACCCTGCATCCGCACCCTCCGCATCCTCAGCCTTCGGCTACGCCAACTGGCCAGCAGCAAAGCCAACATGCTGGAAGCCACCCTGCTCCTAGCCCCGTGCAGGTAACATCATAAGGGAATGAATGTCTTTAAATTGCTTTTAAAACACTCTACTGGAAGGAATTGCATTGATTTGTGACTTTACATTGATCTGTTGATTCCTTGAGAGGAAGAATGGTGGGGGAGGTTGCCCAAACCACCTGCTCATGATAAATCTCACGCAGGAACTGTCCAGCTTTCCATGTTTTCTAGAAGTGAAGATATATCATCTCATTCTTCTCTACTTGTAGCAGCCAAATGTGGTAGACTCATAATTTCTAGAGTAAGCAGGGAGGAAAACTTGTGTCAATCCCTTTTCCTCAGTAAGTGCCAACATGAGTCTGACCATGCATTTCTCCATCTCCACAAGGGATGAGGTGTAGCTCGTTTCCATGTTTTGATTAAAGGAGACTCATAATTTTGTTGCAGCTTAATGTTGAAAGTATCAGATTAATGCTGAGGATTTTTCTCCAAGGCAAGCAGCTAAAAGCAAAATAGTACTTGTGATAATGCTGCATGCCATAGCTTCCTACTGGTGATGACTTTGAGCTGCTTTCATTCCGGTTAGGAAGTACATCCAACCCTGAGGCTGCAGGGTCTCTTTGTTTTTGCCTGGCAGTGTAGGTTCTGGTGAGCACATCCATTTTCCAGGCTCCTCACACAGCTGTAGTGCGAGGGGAAGATGAGCCTGGTGCAATTGCAGTGAGTTTTCTGGTGACCACAGGTATGGGAATCCTTAGATTTGTGACTTAAAAGATGGACAATGGGGAGCAGTTTTGCAAACTTTTTTTATTCTGGAAAGTAACGTAAACATCTCTCATTTCTAGACCATAACCTAACTCTCACTGATTTACTGTCTCTTTTTTTTATTTTTTATTTTATTTTCCAGCATCATCAGCACCAGGCTGCTCAGGCACTCCACCTGGCAAACCCACAACAGCAGTCGGCAATTTACCACGCAGGTCTAGCTCCAACCCCACCTTCCATGACGCCAGGCTCCAATACGCAGTCTCCACAAAATAGTTTTCCTACAGCACAACAAACAGTCTTCACCATTCATCCCTCCCATGTTCAACCTGCATATACCAATCCGCCACACATGGCCCATGTCCCCCAGGTAAACACAGTTTAACAACCTTCAAGACTAAATGTCTTAATGCCACAAAGATAGGACAGTCGGGCCTGCTGAAGTGATTTCCATTCTGTCACCTCTCAGCACAAACTACCTGTTGTGTTATGTAGGTTTCTGTTTGTACATTGCCTTTCTTCTAGAATTTTACAAGATATTTGGACCTCAGCTTCCAATACCCAGTGCATCTACAACTGTAGTTTAATAAAGACATCTTAAGCTGGCACTGCAACTGAAGGAAATTGAGCTCTCTTCCCAGTTCCCAATTCCCATTCTTGTCCTGCCCCAACCCCCCCCCCTTTCTGCTCACAGAACTGTTTGGCCATGCAGCAAACCAGACTGGGGACTTGATTCAACTGAAGTGTGCCTCCCCTCCCCCTATTTTAGGCTATTTCTCAGTCAAATCAGTTCACTAATCGGGTTCACTGCATGATCACAGGAAGAGCTGGCATAGAGAAAGGTTGGAGACGAGAGCTGGGTGGAAGAAAGCTGAATTGCTGCTTTTGGTGGCAGTTGTAGGCTTTGTGTTGTAGCCAAATTTGTACAAATACATTCAGTAAAGGATGATACAAATGGTTACTGGGCAGTAGCAAGGCTGCACTGCAGTGGGAGATTGAGATTTAGTTCAGATGATTTGCAGGACAATCCTTGCTAAAAGAGAAAACTACGTGCGTGTGTGTGTCTGGTTCTAGGCAGACTGCGTGTGCAGGAGATCCCCGATGGTTGTTGGGCAACTTAATGACAGTCTTTGCTACAGGATCAGAAACCCACTTCTCTTAACTGGTCTCTTGTGGTCAACTCACTGAAAAAAAGGATTTGGGGAAGAGAAGCACATGACTGATTAATCAAGAGCTCTGCGTAATGCAGCGCTGCAAAGATTTTCTGATGTTTACTAAATCTCATGGATTTAGTAAGCTTTGTCAAGGAGCAGACAATTAATCAGTAATTTGCCTGCACAACTCCTTCAGATCAAGTTGCCTGGCTTATTCCTTCCATACAGGCTAACAGAAGTTGAGATGTCATGACCTAACTGCAGGTAGGGAGGGTAGTCAAGTAGGACCCTGGTCCCATCCTGAATTCTGGTAAAATCTTCTGGGACAGTTAGTTTAGCAAATTAATTGTTTCTTTTCTTTTAAGAATTGTTTTACTGATGTTGAGTTTATAACTTTTTAGTTCTGCTAAGCTTTTTTCTTTTTGCATTGTGGGAGGATAAAGAGAGGATGCCCAAATGTGACTACTGCTATTGTGGCACCTTGCCACGTCCTCCCAGGCTGATTTCTGCCGGAAACAGATACTTGGCTTATGTGAGCTATTGCTCTGCTCTGGTGTGGTGGCACTGGTGTGAATGCCTAGGTCTAAGAGCTTCTTGAGATGCCTAGAGATACCACCTGCAGCTCTTTAGAAGGGTCTTCTTGGAAGCTTGGGGGTGAGTGGCATGCTCAGTGCTGTGCCTTGAAACGTGTAACACGTTTGTTTCAAAGGCAACTTAAAGATGAGAGCGTACAGGAGTTGTGCTGTACACATCGTGGCCAGACCTGTGCCTGCGCTGCAGGATGTGGCCATTGTCTTCCTTTTGTGTGCCAAGCACTTCGTAAGCAAACCTTGCTAAAGCAAATCAGATGCAAGTTTTAGCCAGAACTGACTGCTTAGTCAGGATTTTTAGCAATTGCAGGCAAAGCCTGCTTTACCCTTGATTTTCAACGTACGCAGTCTTTTCTGCTGTAATTTTTTAGGGTGAAAATTACGATCTGTAATCCAAGATATTTATACCAGACTAACTGACTTTGAAATGAAGTAGTTCCCTCAAAAAAAAAAAAAAAAAAAAAATCTCTGATGAAGGAATAACTACAGCTCTGTAAGAAGTTTTAAATGTGTGTAATTATTCCATTGTGGGGAAACTAATCACTGGATTTAATAGTTTCTCAGCAGTGCTATTTCCAACTGCTGAACGCCATTGTGAAATATGTAGTAGGAGTTTCAGTTAGGCAAACACAGGGGATCAGTTGAATTTCCCTTCAGGTTCTCAGATGACTCAAGCTGTTAGACATATCTCACTTGAGAAGCAGTACTTGAAAATTCATTACAATGTACTGTCAGCTGCCAATTTGCAAAGTGTTTGAGCCACAGCGAATTTTTTTATCCGGTGTGTGTCTGCATTGAATCCAGCTGCTATATGAATAGCTGCTTTATAGTTACGGCTGCTGTAATAGCATGTTTGTCAAAGTGAAAATGGTGCCCATCCTGAAAGGTGTTTTTGTTTCACAGCCTTATCTTCTAAGCCCTTTTTAGTGCAAGAATGAGATTGGAATTGCAGTTCCTGCCTTTAAAGGCTTCTTGAGCGCTATTAATACAGTGCAAGTCTGATAAAGAGTTTGAGGAATGTCTGTGATGAGTCGAATAACCCTTTTGTCTTTAAGAAATAAAATTGTAGCCACTACCTGCTATCTGTCTTTACTGGCCTGTGAAAGTCGTGAGGCTGCGATTGCTGCACCGTAGCACCCTGACAGTGGGATCCGGTAGAAGGACAAAGCAAGCCTTAGATGCAAATAATTTTTGTTTTCCGAGACAAACTGACTGAAAGCTCTAGGGATTCCTTAATGTGTTGTGCTTTTAAGAAACCAGTGTTTACTTGTTTTTCAAAACAACTGACAATCTCTAGAGTCATGAGCCACTCTGAGCAAAAGAAGTCAACTGACAAGTTACTGAACTGGTTTGCCAGAAGGTGATCAGCCATAATGAAGATTAATCTCCTTTTTTCTGCTGAGACTTAATTATGATTGCTTAGATTACATGAGGACCTTAACTGTGATGAGCTTAACTGGAAACAGAACAAAGCTGACCTAACAGCATCAAGGGATGAAATCACTCATCTTAGAATGACTGCACAGATGAAAGATAGCGTGGGCACAGGTCACTCGAGAGCGTTCCTAGGGCAGGGAGCCATGAAAGAATGTGGAGCTGTGTAATGAGAAGGGAGCAAGTGATGCCAGAGCTCCAGAGCGTGAGGTTCCTATCTGCACCCAGTGCGTTCTCTGCATAGGAAGCGCTTTGATCTTGGTTACTAACAATAATGTTTTGAAGATTTGTTGCTGAGGTTTAAAAGAGATATATATCCCTCTGTTTAATGCTAGCGGTCTCTCCCAGTGTGCACTGTCCAAATTATTGCTGAAATTCAGAATGTGACTCGGAGCCAGCAGTAAGGATTTGAGCCTTTTTAAAAGTTATTACTTTAGTTGTTATTATCTTTTTTTTAATCCCTTTGTAGCTAATCTAGTTAAAATGGAGTAAATCTCTGGATTTACTGGTAGAGCTGGAAAAAACTCGCTAGTCATGTGGCCAGGAGAGATGCCTCCTTGTGACCATTATACTAAAGAGCTCTTTGTTTCAGGCTCATGTACAGTCAGGAATGGTTCCTTCTCACCCAACTGCCCATGCTCCAATGATGCTAATGACGACACAGCCACCTGGTGGTCCCCAAGCCGCCATCGCTCAAAGTGCACTACAGCCCATTCCAGTCTCGACAACAACACATTTCCCCTATATGACGCACCCTTCAGGTGAGGAGTGTGTGCCCGGGAGACCTGCACCGTAACTGAGCCAGGTCACAGTAGCGAGGAGAACTGTTACGAACCAGATTTGGGGAAAAGAATAACAAAAAAAAAAAAAAAAAAACCATCAGAAAACAAATGGAAGATGTCCTTTCTAGATGGCGGGCTGCTGATGGCAAACTGTTTGTGCATTTAGCGTTTGTACGTTGCCAGCCCAAATACAAGCCTAGCTAAGCATGCCAGATTTAGCTAATGTAGCAAAGACCTTGTTTCTGTGTAGCTGAAGTACAGAAGTGGATAACTGTGCAGACACTGACACGGTGGGGCTGTGTTCTTCCAGGTATTGCCGTGGTTTTGCTGTGGGGAATGGACTGTCTGCGTAGCCTGCTCATAATGATCCGGGGGGTTGTTAAATTTAAAGCGATCGGTCCCAAGGACAGGAGTGACAGTGTTGCCTGGGGGTAGTGCTGTTAGACTTCTACTGACCGAAGTAAAGTGACAATTGAAGTCTATTCTTTAATTCAGAGTAATATTCTGCAGCTTTACTTTTGGGGAAAAGTAGGTGCTATATGACTTCTTTCCACTTTAAAGTTACTTAGATGTCTATCGTTATTTGTTTCCAAACAGCCTCTGATGTTATGTCTTGGGGAATGTGTGAGCAGAACAAGCTGCTTTGTGAGGGTTTAGGGAGGAGAGAAACATCCAAAGGACATCTCGATATGCAGGGTATTGTTTTGTTCTTTAAAAGGAAAAGGAAAAGAAAAAGAAAGTTGAGCTCAGTAGTTGTCCTGTGACCACTTTACTAGCAAACTGTTGTGTGGCTTGCCAATCTATTATTTACATTTGAACTTTTTTTTTACAGTACAAGCCCACCACCAACAGCAGTTGTAAGGCTCATCTGGAATAACTGAAAGGCTGGATACCTTTTGTAGGCCAAATACCCTCCTTCTACTGCTTCTGCCAACTGGAAGCACAGAAAACTAGAATTTCATTTTATTTTGTTTAAAAAAAAAAAAAAATTGATTTCTTGTAACATCCACTAGGAATGCTAACAGTTCATCTTGCAGTGGGAGAGATTCGGACTGAGTAGAGGCATTTAGGAACTTGTGGGCTATTCCATAATTCCATGCACTGTATCTGAGTCCTGCAAGTGCCCCAACTCTGCTTGCTGAAAACTGGAAGTTATTTATTTTTTAATGACCCTTCAAAGTTATGAACTCATCAGCTAGCAAAAGAAGTAACAAGAGTGATTCTTGCTGCTATTATCACTAAAAATCAAGACTTGGAGATCCCTTTTACTTCTAACTAAACTTGAAACAGGTTCAGTGAAAAAAAAAAAAAATTCTAATCGTCAAACTGATGAATTATTATTTATAAATCACGTTTGATGAGATGATCACTATCGTGAGACAGTGATGTAACTTTTAAGTTAAGAAAACTTTTACTTTGTAGATAATATAAAATAAAAACTAAAAAAAAAATTAAAAAATAAAAAAAGTTTTAAAAACTGACCTACGTATTGTTTGTGTTTTGCTTTACCAGTATCTCTCTTTAATATCTTCTCCAGCTTCAGACCTATGGAACTCCATCAGGTGTATGTGACTTGCAGGGCCACTGCAGATACAAGTCGGAGGGTTCAGAACAGAAGTGTGAGTGCAGGTTTTAAAAGAATTTCCTCTGTTCGGGTCCGTTCCCTAACGCCTCAGCCTCGTGCTGCTCTGTTGCTGTGCAGAAGATGTCACAAATGCATGAAATTAATGTAAGTAAATGCAGGTGGGCAGCAGGGGGCATGCGACCATCAAAAGTCACGATGGAGATTTGCTCCTGCTGGCAGGGAGCTTCCATTTCTGAGGGAGGGTTTGTGAGTTTGAGCAGCTCCTGGTCTGCTCATATAGCAGCACCATAGAGAATGAGGTGAAATACTAAAAGTGAGAAACGAGTTCTAAAAACAGTTTATTAAGAGCAGGTTTTTTTTATATTATGGTAAAATTGCATTATTCAAGAATAAGTTACTTGTACAGTACATACAGAAACAATATATAGAAAACCTACTATACAAGAAGAACTCTTCTGTGCAGGTGAAAAGTAGAACTTCCAAATCACTAAACTCATCCAACAGAACCTGTTGGCTTTAGTCACCCTAGAGGCTGGGTGGGAGGGCGTGCAGTGGCTGCTGGTGCAGGCTGTGCCCTGGTGAGAGCCAGCAAGCTCACCTTGAAGTTTGGAATACTGTGTTCAGACACTTGGAGGCTTTATATGCTTGGTCGTGTGACAGCAGTGTTGTGTGGTCCAGAGATGAAGGAACAAAAAGCCCCTCCCTGGCTCCTTCCCAGCACGCCGGTGCTGTTCCAGCTCACAGGGATTCCCTCTGCTTTGGCTCCACCTGGACCTGGAGCTCTTCCCCAAGGCTTTGCTATGGGATAGTTGTGCTTCAGCACCAGGTGGTGGTAGCAGTGTTGGGAACCTGCCTAGGGTGCATTGTGGCAGGGAGGGATGAGATAACTAAAAATGTTAATTATTGCTTTGTGTCAGGCACTGTCAGAACCAGGTCTCTGCAGTCCTAGCTGGAGAGTAAAGGCACTGCTCCTTCCCTTAGCATCCTTTTTGCCAAAAGCAGTGTCCTGGGAGTGCCTTTCCTACCCTGTAATAGAGTATCTTCAGCACTGCATTAACCTTGCAGGGGGGCATGGTCTGATGAACTCAATGTACATTTATCTAACCAAACCCAGTGGTTTCCCTTTGAACTATGCCAAATCCCGTGCAGTAGAAGGGCAGGCTAGGAACACTGTGTGTGTGGCTGCAATCCCTTTTCCCATCCCTTTGCTGCCTCTGTAGGGGAGCTGGAGTGAGACCCTCTCATCCTTTGGGGAAAAAATCATTCAGATCTGGCTGCCTAGGGCACTTGCAGCACGTGCAAGTGTTCCATGGGCTTGCAGAGCTTTGCTGTGCGGCTTCTCCCCAAACACAACAATCTGGGACCATGCACCAAGGAGGCATTGGCCTTTAAAGCCCCAAATTCAGGCTGCATTGTTCCTGATTTGCTGCTTTCTGGTGCAGGGGGACCATGCTGCTGCCTGCAGCCTTGGTGCAGCTCTGGGAAGGAAGAGAGCACAGGGGCTGCTCTGTTCCCCTGCAGCCTCCCTGTGTTTGGCATTCCAGGAGGTGACAATGTGCATCATTTTCTCTGAAATGCTCCAGTTTGGAGTCTGGCTGCGATGGGGCAGGTACTGGGGGTGCTGGTAACAGGAGTTGGGCAGAAAAGGCTTTGCATGCTTCGGATGCATAAAGTGGAGAATGGGAGCAGGAGACGGAAGGCACAAAACTCCATGTGAGTTTTCAGGGGGATGCAGCCACTTTCTCCTGTGCTTATGCATGGCGGTCACTGATCACAGCAGAGCTGTGCAGTTGGCTGTGGGCTGTGCAGGGCCAATGGTGCACACAGTGCATTCTCAGGCCCTTGCAAAAGCTTTGAGGCTCTGTATTGTTGGCTTTCAAATGAAATCCTAAATTAATGCTCTTGAAGGCTCTATTTTTAATAGGGGGGGGGAAGAAAAGATTCTCTTTAATTTGTGTTTGAGAGTAATGTTGCATTAGGAACCCTTGGGATTGAGCTGTCAGCATCCCTGTGCATTGCAGGGGAGTGGGACCAGGTGCTATTTGGGGGTCCCTTCCAACTCAATTTATTCTGTGATCACATAAATGGGAGCTGAGCGCTGCCAATGTGCCCTGAATGTGGCAACGGCCCCAGCTCCCTCCTTTCTCCTGATAGAGCAGCTGATCCTCTCTCTAGGCACCAGCAGGTAAATGGGGCTCCATGCTTTGAGCGGACACTTGGAGGCAGGTTAAAGTGCTGTTGTATGGGTATTACAGCTGCAGAAACACTAAACCTTCCTCTTCCTCTCATAAGGCACGTTGGGTGTGCGGGCTCAGAGTAGCTTTGTGCTCCCTCTGCCCATTATTGCATAGCGTGGAACACTGCCATCCCCTTACGTGTTGTTTAGCAGGGAGGAAAAAAAGAGCTGAGCAGGGTGCACAGCCAAAGTACAAAACCATGGGGAAACTGAGTTTTGTGCTGGAAATGCCCCCATTGGTGGAGGATGCTTTGCTGTCAGTCTCCGCAGTAGCTCTCAGCAGTGGCACTGTTAGGGATGGAGCTGTTAGTGTTCACGTCTCGGTTAGCATCACGGTGTGGGCAGCGCTGCTGCAGGATTGGCTGCAAGAGGCAAGTTGGGGAAAAAAAGGAAGGAGAAAAGCCAGTTTTTGCCTTGTCTGTAGAGATAAAACAAATCCTTGGCGAGCAGTAGCGTGGCACAGCCCCATCCCGGCTCGCAGGCAGCGCTTGGCCAAGAATTGTGAATCCATTTTTCATTCATTTGCTCCAATGGTGCAGATGCACCACACACCCTCGGCTCCTCCTGGAAGGGGCAGGAGAGCACAGGGCGGTGCGGTGTCCCCATGGTGGTTGTGTAAACAGTAATGAGAAAGCTTTGATAATACAAAAAAAATATATATATATATTTTTTTTAAATGGCCCTTTAACAGGCCCAGGAGAGGGAGCACACCCATACTGGAGTGAACAATGACCCCCTTCCTTGCAAAATTAAAAAATAACAATCCCTAACCAGAAGGAAGGAAATACATTCTTTTTCCTCTGTGCCACCCGGAGGGATCTCCGGGACTTCTCCACCAAAAGTGCATCCCTGTGCCCATCACAGTGGTGTGTATTGGTTGTCCACAGCACGCACACGGCCCCGGCCCGGGGCTTCCACTTCGTAGTCCGAATCACGGGGCCGTGCGCCATGGGGTGCCCCGTTGGGGTGTGAGCCCTGCGCCAACTCAGCCACCGGTGGCACCAGGTGGAAAATGGGCTCTGGAGGGGATTCGGAGGGGGTCAGGCTGAATTCCGGGCTCCAGAAGGGCAGTGGGACAGGGAGCGCAGGGCTGGAGCCAGGAGCTGCGGGCAGAGGGAGAGAGCAGATGCTTGAGGTGGTTCTGTCCCAGCGCGCTGCTGCTAGCACTGGAGTGCATCCCACAGAGATTGAAGGTAGATTCTGCTTGCCCAAAGTGGGATAGCCAGGAGCTCAGGTGTCAGCTTCTGGGACACCATCCCGATGCTTCTGCTTCCCCTAAATGGGCACAGCTGCACCAACTGCCTCAGTCTGTCTTTTAGGGCTAGGACCCTCCCTTTGGGCAAAAACCCTCCCTTAGGGCCAGGATCCTCATCCCTGTCCCCCAGGACTCCCAAAGTCCAGAATGTTCATCCCCGGACTGCTGCCCTTTACCTGGTGGCTGGGGGAGGACGACAACATAGCTGGAGAGCCGGACATCGCAGGTGGCCCCACACTCCAGTGGGATGGGATACCTGTGGAAGTGGTGCAGCATCTCTGTGATGGAGGAGAAACGCAGGTGCTGGACACGGCACTGGCCCCGCTCTGTCAGCGACAGCCGCAGGTGCTGCAGGGAGGAGCACAGACCTGTTAGCCTTCCACCAGCTCCCTTGGTGGAGGAGATGACGGGAGACACGGGGATATTTGGGATGGATGGGGAAGGGAATAAACGGCCTTAGCATCATGTGATGCATCTCCAGCCCTGTTCACTGCAGGATTTTTCCCTCCCCCAAGAATTGAGGATGGGGACACCAGCCCTCTGCAAGCACTGGGACAAAGAGAGCATCAGCTGGGGTGGGGGGTGAGGTTCTTGCAGGGGTAACATTTGCCACCCAGCTCAACTCAATCCAGCCCAACCTATCCCAACCCAATGTATCCCATCCCATCTCCCACCTGTACCTTCGCTCTGCCCTGGAAGTTGAAGGTGAGCACATACTCGCCGCGGCGCGTCTCGCTCTGCCGCACCAGGAAGACACCGTGACCCTCCAGCCCCCCCAGCTGCACCAGCTGCGCTGCCTTCACACGGGAGATGGGCCCATGGAACCAGGGGCAGGATGACAGGAATTGCTCCATCTTCGGTCCCGCTGTCTCCGCCGGCCCCCCTGACATTGCGCCTGCCCAGACACAGGGACACCAGCAAGGGTGAGTGCCCCAGGGAAGCGAGGACCCTGCCCAGCCCCACTCATCATCCTCATCCCTTCCCCTGTATCTGTGTCCTCCTTGCACCATTGGGGGCTGGATTAACTTCAGCCAGTCCCAGCGAGGTATGGGAACCCTCCTAGGGATGGTGTCCTCAACACCTCTGCTTTGTTCTCGGTGTCCCCAGGTGCTCACCTTGGTTTGGGGAGTCAGAGCTGGTGGCAGGGCTGGTGGCTGTGGGATCAGGGTGCCGGCCTGACAGGAGCTCAGGGTCACCCACATCCAACCTGCGAGGATGGGAGGAGATGGGATGAGTGCTGGGCACAGCATTTGAGGACGTGCAGACTCAGGGGCCTGGCAAGTTCTTACCCCCTGCATGCACACTGCCGGATCTCGGCCATCCAGGAGCTGAGTTGCTGCTCGTCCCCCGCCTCAAACAGCACATCAGTAGCATTGGTGACCTGGGGACGCCACAGAGGGACATT